GCTACAAACCCACCTTTCCTGCTTTAGCCCTGCCTCCAGCCGGAACACAAGCCTGAACCCTGCGCACTCACTGCCTCGACCTTCCACTCACCCCTGAAACCTGGTGTGAGCGAGTGCCCTCCCTGCTGTGTCTTAGTGCGAGAGAAACATCACCAAGCATCCTCAAAGAACGGCATTGTACCCTATCTCTTGCTTGCTTGCTTGCTTGCAAGGCGTGGGAAGCAGGGCACGGAACCCTGCCCCCCTTGCGCGTGAGCGCTACGCCTGTGTCCGAGTCTGGTGAGTACCCTATCTCTCTCTCGCTCTCTCTCGGGCATAGGGGTCGATCAAGACCCCCGGGCATCTTGCCCACCCGATATGATTTATCGGGAGTACCCTATCTCTCTCTCTCTCTCACTCGCTGCCCTCTCTGGAGCCCCACAGCCCGACCTAGAGTCGTGGGAGGCAATTGTGCCGTCGCGCCTGAACTCTCCGCAGATGGCAACGTGGATCAATCGGGCTCTGAGAACAGTCAAACTTGCTGACCTCTGGGCAGCAGAAGTCACTTGCACGGTCTTCTTCTCGGTTTCTTTTGTCCAGAGGTGCACACCATGCAGACGAAACGTTAGATGTTCAAAGACGTGAAGACGTTGGCGCACTTTGGTGACCTCAGATGCTGGAGTCATCACGCATGTAACTGTGGTCGAGTTCGTGAAGAACGTCTCTTCGCTACTGGCCTTCAACGCCAATGCGCCTACGGCACTTCGTGTCCAATTTGCAACTTTGCAATCTGCAGCACTCTCGCTTATACCTGGTCGCATGAGTCCAATGCAGGACATTTGGGGAAGTGCAGTCTGGGCGAGGCAGCAAGACTTTCCAGACAGGCGCAGAACTTATGTACAGCAGTGAGTGCAGAGGGACTTGTGCGGCCCAGCCAGCCCGTTGCTTTTGTTCCTGAACCCTCGCCCTCAAGGACCGCTGTTGTCAAGAAAAGAAGCCATTAGGGAAATCTTCAGCCAGTGGTGTCTTCAAAGCTCTCGATTGCGCACCACCGCCAATGTGCGGTCTGAGACGCTACAGCAGGAACTGGATAGCTGTGATGCTGGGCCTCTTGGCATCTGATCATAGCCAAGTTTCTTTGTAAGGTTGACTTCCTTGGGTGGCTCCTTTTCGACCTTCAAGGATGCCTCCAAACTCCTTCCTTCCAATGCTGGACTGGACTTTTGCCTCCTCAACCCTTGTTGTACTGAGCTTCCTGGCAGCCGGTTCCGTTGTGCGCAACCTCCTTGCCTTCGAGGTTGTGACTTCGTGTCTTATTCTCTCTGCTGCCCTAAGCCGTGCAGGTATCTGGATTTGTCTGGATGGTCTGCGACTCACTTACAGCAGCATCTCTGCAGGCTGAGACGGTTTCAGCCTTTAGTTACATGCTCCCTATGCTGTATCGGACACGGATTCCATGCCTTGAAAAACTGAAATGCAGGTAAGTATGTGTAGTATATATATATATATACAGATGTATACATATACATATGTATACAGATATACAGAGATATACAATTGTTGCTCCTCGCTCAGGCGTGACAGAATCTCGCGGCTGTAGCCACCACGCCCAAAGGTGCAGTCCTGGAACGACTGACAAGCAAAGCCATCTGCGGCAGCAAGTCAACACAAGTAGGTGCCAGGCAACATACAAGCCGGTGAACAACTCGTTGCCAGATCGGACACCTGTGCTGCGATAGTCTCCGACTCTCAGACGGAGTCAACTCTGGAGCTCTGCCAACCAAAAAATATTCTGACGGCTGGTTGCTCAGTTCGTCGTCGGCATTGGCAAGACAGTGGGATGGGAAGAGCCATTGCATGGTTGGTACCAAAAGCACGGGCTCGTGACCTGCAACTCCTCGGCGCGAAATGGCTCTTCGTGAAAACAGAAGCTCTGCGACCGTTTCCGCATAAGCGCGCCCTAGCAAGTGGGGCTGCCACGACCTTCGCTCAAAGCCCGCTGGTGCCTATCGCGGGCTTCCTTGCCGGGCCATGAGGAACCCGAACGAGCCCACCAATACGACACACTCAGCCGACGCACCACGACGCCAGTCCTCGATGCTGCCCTGCAGATCGAAGCCGTCGATCCACTCCTCAAAAGCACAAGAAATCTGCTCGCCGCTCTTGCTCTCGCTTCGGTTCTGCCTCCTCCTCCTCGTCCCAGCTGTCCTGACGGACGGCTGCTTCGCAGCAGCACACGGCACAGACGTGTTTTGCAGCTCCTCCTCTGTTAGCATGCTGAGGATGCTGTTCGCCGTGCCTGCACTGGAGTTCTGAAGCTCGTTTGTCGTAGCAAAGAACTTTTGCATCTCATGCTGCAGAAAAACGGTTTGACCAGTTTCCTGGCACCGCTCTTTTCCCGTCCTCTCTGAGTTTACTCGGCTATTTCTGGAGTGCAGGTACTTGCCAGGAGCGATGTGGAAGACATGGTTAGCTCCCTTCATCCATGACCAAGGCCGCGCTGCCACTCATTCGCCGTTTCAGCAATCAATATGTATTCTGCCCGAATGCTGCATGCGAGTCGAAAACGAGAACTGGCAAGATGTCTTTCAGAGCTTCGGCTTTGCGCTTGGGGGGGCTGCCTTCGCCTCGCGCGAGAGTGCGACTGCGGACGGCTCCTGGAGGTGACCAGTACAAGTAAGAAGGGAGCGTTCGTGTAAAGCTCTCCGCCTCTGCAGCTCCAACCTGGAAGCGACTTCCTGCGGCGTGGTACCCCGTCGGCGAGTCCCCGCGCTGCCGAAACCTTGTTGTGTCCTAAAACAAGCTCTCCTTCTCTTCGCCCAAGGACACCGCCGAGCCATGGGGACCTTGAAGTCACGCAGCACAGCAATGCACATCGCCTCTTGTTCTCGAGTTCCAGCCAATCTGCGACAAAACGTGGCATTCCCTTCCTCCGGGCGGGCAGGGCAGAACCTTTCCTGTAATCCATGCTCACTATCTCAGCTTGCTTCCGTACTCTGGCCTGGCCAGCCATGCGAGACTACCACCCCTGAAGTTTTCCTCATCAGCCTGTCGTTTGACTGATTCGGCCTCCGGGATTTGCAATCTGAGCGAGGGACGGTCGCCATCAACAGCACACCAGCACCTGCGCGAAGTGATTCACGGGCATGGGCCCTGCAATCTGCTTGCGACACGACGACATGGTTTTGCCTCCGCGCTGCAACCTCGAGTCTTTAGTCTCTCATTAAGACTTTGACAGGTCGCTCTAACTCCGGCACAAGAATACTCAAGCGGGCTGGCTAAAGCAGGACTTGAAAAGCCCAAGAGCGCCAGTCCACGCAACGAGCCAAGGGACTCAATTATGTACAGGTGGCACGTCACGTCCACTCTCAGGAACCGGCCACGATGTCGAATTGTTAGTGCAAACAGTGGTGCTAACATATTCAGAAATAGCACCCTTGTCAGTAGAATCTGAGGGGCATGACAAATTCACATCAAGTTGTGCAGAGGTGCACCGGTGCGTTCATGCAGCCTCCTGTGAGATGATGGAAAGCACAAAGCCTGCAACGCCTGCAACATCTCTTTGACGTGTTGGCAGGCTGGCAGCGGCTGGCAGTCACAGCTTCCATTCAGACATGGTGGAAGCGGCTCGCAACAGAAGACTGACTGTGAACCAACTCCGTCCGAACTGGGCGCAAGTGCTTGTCCAGCAGGATGCTCAAAGACTGAAAAATCTTCATGAACACGAGGCCCCGAGGCACTGCCCGCGGCCAGTGCCGCCAGTATCAAGGGGCGGTCGCATCCAGATTACGGGCCGCGCGCTGCTGCCGTTCTTGCTGCCGGCCCCACTGCAACGCAGGCCCGAGCCGGCGCTCTCGTATCTCTCGTGCTCGTCGCAGCCGCTGGCGCTCGGCAACAAGCGAAGTGAGCGTCGTGAGCGGGTCCGTGACCGGGTCCTCCGAAGGCCCCAAAGGCGGCTTCGGTGGCAAAGAAGTCCTAGTCCTAGTTCCGGTCACACCCTTTGTCGGTGTTGACCCGTCCGAAGTGGCCGCGTTGTTCGGGTTGCTCCGCACCAGCAAGGCCTCAATTTCGGCTGGCGGGGACTCGTAGGCCTCAAACTCGATGCGCTTCTTTCCCACGTTTGGCAACTCTTGTGAAGCTTCGAGTTCGATGAGTTTTTGGGATGGCGAAGGCGCCTGCAAAAGCTCCGACAGAGGCGGAGGCCGTGAACACGTCGCCATTTCGGCCATGGCGAAAGCCTAGGCCTTGTGTTTATGCCTCGTCATGAGGACCCGCTACGCGCGCACGAAATCCTCGGGCCAGCACGGCAATGTCGGTGCGTCTGGTGGACAGTCGGCCGACGGCATAGCCACAACTGTGTCAAAGATGCATCAAGGCCTGCAAGCTGGACATCTAGAAGAAGCCGCCCTGAAAACGACATGGGAGCATCCAGAAGTGCCTACACTCAGAGCAATGAGCAGCACCTGGCTTCGAAGGGGAGCAGCGTGGAATGTGCAGATCCTGCAGATGACACAGCAGTCGAAGCAGACAGACCGACTGTGTGACAAACTTGGGGCTAGTTGGCATCCGGGTGGCATGTCGCAGCGGGGACCGCGCCCCTGCTCGGATCATTGCATCTGCCACTTGGCCCCAAGTATCGCTGCGCCGGCTAAGCCACCTTCGATGTAATTGACAAGCTTACCTTAGACCAACCTGCTGCCCTGACACAAGCAACGTTGTTGTGCGTAGAAGCTCTGCTTCTGCTCAGCATTGCTCAACGTTGTGACACAACCCATAAGCAACCCGGTGTCTAGCAGCTCATCAACTTCGGTTGCAACCATTTGGCAAGGTGGCTGCAGAGTTACGTTCGGTGATCGAGTGCATGAGGTAAGTGAACACATGCGTTCATTCAACAAAAATTGCAGGTCAACTAACGTCAAGCTACCGACCAGACGACATCAGCACACGGCACCCATCCAAGCAAGACGTGTAGGGCAATCAAGAGAGCTAAGGGCACGAGGCTAAAGGTCAGCCGGGCGCACCATGAGCCCATGTGCCTTGGATTGCGGAGTCAGTGACAAGCCGGCGACAGCCAACACATGCCAACAGCTCAACACACGTGTGCACCCAGACTCTTTGCAGAGGCCTCCCTCCCTTTCGTGATTCCAACCAGCAACCCAGCAACGCACGATTGAACTACTCGCCCTGAGCCCGTCTCTGAATGCCCGGCCCGGGCGACGTCTGTTTTGCTTCCAGGCGTGCTCTGCTGAAGTACAGAGACTCTGACGAACTTGAGGGGATGTGCAATCGAAGCTTTGAATCTGCACTAAGTGCAGCAGTGGTCGGCATGAGGCAACTGGACATGGGGAACAGATCGGGATCGGGCTTGGCTTAGCGTCCGAGTCTCCGGAAGCGAGCGGCCGCGCTTGCAGTCCAAGGCACAGGTCGCTCCATTCTTGCATGCCCCATCCTGGGAATGAGGGAATGGACTACAGTAGCTGCAGAGCTGTAGCTTTGTCGGTCCTCCCAGAACTTGCAAATTGTTCTCTTCACAGAAGATCCAAGGCTTCCAGCATGGCCCTTGCACGGGGAATACCAGGAAAGGGCCACGTTTACTTTCAAATTTCAAACCTTGGCAACCACGCTCGAATTTTGGACTTTGGTCATCACTCGCACCAAAAGGTGCTGCTACATTCCGTGCAATATGAAATACTACGTGTGGCTAGCTTTCATGAGCGCTGTTTCCAGCATCTCGGGATGCATCTTTGGCCTCCCGAAGGGATCTAGGACATAGGAAGTCATCGCCCTTTGTCAGAGCATAAGCTTTCCGAAAGAAAGCAATCTAGCAGAGGTTCGTTGTGCTCACTCAGGTGGCAGGAATAAGTCGGAGTTGCGACTTGGTCGGATCCAACCTCGATATCGAGAGCACGCAGGGCGCTCGCCCGAAGCTAAATCCCTCTCACAAGTCCCAGCTCCGCGGCTTCGCGGGGTTTTCCGGGGCTCCGGGCGGTCTCTGAAGCCGCGCTTGTGGATCGCGGCCAAGGCCAGGCCCACACCGAGCACGGCAGCCTCGAAGAGCCCGGGCGGCAGCTGCCGCGACACGTCGCACGTCACGCTACATGGCCCTACATAACCCTTGTTGGCGCCCCTTCGCCACATGGCTTTCGTCTCTCGGCCGCCGGCGAAGAGGACGAAGGTCACTGCGCCGCACGAGGAGAAGAAAAGGTCCTCCTTCTCCTGCACGTGACTCCAAAAGGCCCTTTCAACAAAGGTCCCTTGTTTCTCCGGAGGTCCTTGACCTCTTCGAACTTTTGGTCCGCCAAGGGGACGCCGGGACACATGAAGGTAAGCCTGTACTGGCCTCGCAGCTCAAAAGCTCCGTAAGAAGCGGAGCGAGGCAGGGCTGCAGGGCCGCAGGGTCCCTGGCCGTAGGAGCAGCGCATCAGCCCTTGACCTACATCACTTCATCGCAAGCTCGCGCCATCCAAAGCATTCTGCTTGCTGGGGCGGAACCATCGTCGTAGGCGAAGGCATAAACGCCCGGGCAGTACTGGTGCACTGTCTGGCGGAAGGTGCGTTCGTCATCCGTCGCTGTTCAGAGCGGGCCCGCCTGGACGTACTTTGTTTGTGGCAAGGGCCCCGCATTGCAGGTCTGCGAGTTCTCAGGTGGTGTGGTGCAGCCTGTGTGAATAGAGGAAAGCTGTTGAAAGTCGGTTGAAGTCCTGGTCCTACGGCCACGATCTTGTCTGAAAGCTGTCACAGTGCCACCCGGGGCACAAGCAGTATTTTGTCACGTCGGGGTCGTTTCGGGACTTGCCCGTTGCCTTGCATGAAAGAGCAACACTGGAAAAGTGCAGAACTGAAGTGTTCCAGCCTGCACATTGTTCCACTTGGTGTCGATGAGCTTCAAGCAAGGAGCGTAGCAGCCTTGGGCGGAAACACTGGAAGAACCCCATGACCTGCTGTTCTGCAAAGCCCCCGACCTACAGGTTTTTGGATCTTGGGGTTGATCGCCTGCTCACAAAGGAGAAAGATCTGAAAGGCTTGCATCAGACGTGTGTACGGATCGGTGCCTGCATGTTCGTTGGCCCCTTCCCCAAGTTGTCGTCGACCGGGCACTTGTCAACAGAGAGGCCACTGCAGTCCAGGCTCGTGATGGTCTGGGCCTGTGGATCCTCCCGAAGCAACCGCGTTGTCGCCTCTCCCCTGTCGCGCTGTTGCCTGTCCTGCCCGGTGCATGTACCCGCGACGACTTCCAGCTTGAAAGGTAGCGTGAAGCCATCCACCAGGCTCATGTCAATGAAGTCGCAACCGGCCTGAGCAGCAACGGCTTGAATCTGTTGCCACGACAAATCCGTCAAGCGTTTGGAGATCGAGTGTTGTCGCCGGATTCCGAGGGCTTGGCCATTTGGCCAGGATTGGCAGGATTGCACGGCTGGCCCTGCAGGGAGCATGATTGCCGTTGCTTCTGCCAGGGCCAAGACGAATCCTTGCCTTCTTTCCCCAAGTGGCCTGAAAGAGCGCTCGCTTCGCTCACTCGGGCTTCGATTTTGGACACATGCGCCTCGAACTTGGTGTCGATCGGAGGCTGGCACTTGGAGTAATCGGGGTTGAGCTCGTTCTGCCATCCACAGGCCCGCAACAAGCTAAGCCAGCAGCAAGCAGTCGGGCTGAGGTTGTAACGCAGTGCTGCCCAGGACCACCCGAACCACCCAGCAAACAGTTCTGCCTCACGGTCGCTGCGACTCATGGATCTCAGGATGGCCGAGCACCGCCAACGCTAAGCCGCGCTCCCGTTTTGATCGCAGCCCATCTTTGGCCAATAGCGTGCTGAAGCAACCTGGTCCGTCTCAGTCTCATCGAAGATCATGTTGCCTGCAACTCGCGAAGAGCAGGCATGAGCACGCGACGACGCGACGACGCGACGCGTGGCGAGACAGCGGCTTAGTCGACTTGTGGCGACTAAGCCACGCCCTTTGCGTGCCTAGGGGTGGAATGGCGTGGTTCACCGGGCCAGGCCTCGGCTCTCGGCTCGGCTCCCGGCTCCAAGAAAGAGAGCCGGCTGCACTCTGACGCTGAGCCCGGAGCCCAGGGCCTGCCTCAGTCTGTGAGCAGCTCTCAGGCGCATGCGTTTGGCTCTCTTAGCCGCTTGCAGCGGCCAGGTGCGCAATCCAAATTGTCTCGTGAGGGCAGCCATTGACAATCTCAAGCCGGGGTATTCCCGCCTCAGCCGGAGGTGCGGAGGTGAAAACTGCGAAAGCCAAAGGCGCCTCTTCGGTCCGCGGGGACCACTGGGGCCCGGGCTAGGACGCAGGAAATCGAAGTCGCTACTAAGAGGAACTTCATTGTCGTGGCTGCTGCTGGCTGCCAGCGGAAAAGTTCGATGATTGAAGAGCGTTTGCGGCATCAGCTGCTTGCGTCAACGGCTTCCTTCTGTCTGGCATGTCTGATCCGCCGGCCACCGAGACGACACTCAAGGCTGGATATCCAAGGCGCTCACAAGGCGATTTCAACAGCTTTTCATGCAGTTGAAGTTGCATATGCCTCGAAGTGGTCATCCAACAGAAACTCATCGTCAAACTCTAAACCTGGAGTGCTCCGATGGCTGAAAGCTCCTCCAGCTTCCGTTCGCGACACTCTGCCAGCCTTGCTCATGTTGCGTCCTGGCAACAGAAGTAGCTCCAGCTCAGTGCTTCGTTTTGGCCCAGTAAGAAATCGTCACTGACATGCCGGAGCGGCGCCGCAATAGCTCGGAACATGCTTGCATCCAGCAGAAGACACCAGGGCTCCAGTGGTTCAGGCCGGGTACTGTTGAGGCTATGACAAGGAGGGCATGTCAGGTTCTCAAGCTGTCGTCAGGAAACTGCATAGCTAGAGGATTGGTGCAGGCTTTCTTCGGGGCGTGGGCCAAGAAGGGCATCTTGCAAGCACTGAGAATCCACCAAGCACTTGTCCAAGCTCGTCTCACAGGCGAAGTGGAAAGGGTCAAAGAACAGCTCAGTCGCTGATGCACTTGTTGCTGCAGGCTTCGACACGGAAGTCATGGCGTTTAAATGGGAAGTATGTGCATCGTCATCCTTCATCTTCTTCTAGCGCAATACTGCCCAAAGCAGCATATGCCGGTGTTCAAGGTTCAGTCAGACGACTAACTGTGGATTTACGAGTAAGAGCTAGAAGAGATGAGGCTGCAGCTCAAATGCAAATCGAGTTCCCACTTTTGGGGACGATCGAGCTGATCCTCCCTGTGCACGTGTGCACCGCTTGCAGATGCAACGCTCAACGAAGCTCGGCAAGTCGCCAATGCTGTGTTTATTGGCAGTAGTACCACCTCACAGCCGCTGGCATGGATAGGTTTGTTACGGAAGGCTGGCACATTCTTGACAGGAGCACAGTCAACACTCTCCTTAATACAGGAGTGTATAGCCTGCAGTCTCATGTCTCCTGATGTTGCTGACTGCTGCGACTTGAAGGATGCCGAAGCTGAAGATCTCTCAAGTCTTGCGATGTCTTGAGGCTCGGTCCACACCAAAGGTTGATCTTGCGAATTGGTCGGCTTCCATCGGAGTTCTCCCTTTCTTCTGGCCTTGAGGACGGCCTCCCAGGGCGCATCATTGTGACTGAAATCTACAGACTCGGGCGACTTGGACTTGGGCCTCCTCGTCCACGTACCAACGCCTCGGCTTCAGCTCAGACTGGTTCAGGAACTAAGACTAATGGGGCCCCTCCGATGCTGGCGAAGAGTCTGCATCCACCACACGGCGCGCGTATCTTGTGACAGCGGTACCACTGTATGATGACCGGAACTCAGAGTGATGTGGCAGCGGTCGTTCTGCACCTCGCAACCAGCAGAATGCCGGGAAACCTGGAGTTTGCAAAAATGCTCAAGAAGAATGAGCTAAGAACCAGGTACATGCAGCGGTACGCGTCGCACCAACCGCCCTGCAGGCCGGAGAGTGCTACAGAGAGCGCCGGCCTCAGCATTAAGCCAAGCTTCACGTCTCGCTGCGCATATCACTGGTTACCCACACCCACGAGCTGGAAAGGACAACCAACACAAGACGAAAGTCTGAACTTAAGTGGAATGGGTAAGGCCAACGCGGCAGAGCCCATGCGTCAGTCCAAGCCGATGGAGCACTGTGAACCTGGACTTCATTTTCATAGGCGAGCGTCGAGGATCCAGCGGAATCTAGCATCTCGATGTCAACTCTGCCTGTGCTGCTTGCGAAGTGCCAGCAGGGCAGAAGACAGGCGCATCTGGATCCAACCTCACACAGCCAACTGGCGTTTTGTTGTTCAAGCTACCACGGAAGACGTGGCCAGGAATCATAACTGAGATCCCGTGCTGACGCTTCAGGCCCGGAAAAAGATCTGCCAGAAGACGAGGCCTCAGCGGAAGACTATGTCGCGGCGTGTTTGCTGTACCTTTGCAGAGGCTGCAAACACAGTCGCACGGGTCCCTTCAGCTTCTTTTTCCTGCTCGTGTTTGCCGCTTACACTTGCTTCGGTTCTGGCCCTCGCCAGAATGACAAGCCATGAAACGAGGAACAGAGCAGGTTGTTGCTCTTCAGTGCTCTTTGGCAACTGACGGAAACACAAAAGATTTTGTTGCTGCGACGCTCCTCCTGGGTGACGTTGATGACAGGAGACGGCGCTGTGCACGTCTACATCCCCGCAAGCAAAAGCGCATCTGAAAGTGCGCCCTCCAAACGATCAAAGATCTCATCGACCTCTGCAGAGCTCACCTCACGGGCCGCAAAAGCGCAAGCGATGTGTTTTCTGAAAATCGCGACTTGTCTCTGCAAATTGCTCTGATGATTGAATCCCTCTACTGAGGCGGCCACAATGAGTGGGGGGCAAATGGATACAACATCATTGGGAAGCACCCGGACGATGAGCCCACGTTCCAAAGCGAACTGCACGACTTTGGCCGCCATGGCGCCTGAGAACACAACAAGCTGCGGTAAGCTGTGAAGATCTGCGCGTCCGAAATCGTCGTTGAGAGATCTGCCAAGATGCGGCTGGCATCGAAAGGCTGCTTGGTTTCCTTCTCCTTCACGAGCTCAATTGCACCGATGAGGCCTTGCAACTTCAGAGGTCGTGACCGAACGCCTTTAGGGATGCGACCGCGACACCGATCCCTCGAGCATCGCCAACCAAGGGGTGCCTTGGTCAAGGACACTCGGACCTTCCCTCGTCGGCTTCTACTCCGTGCTTCTAAGTTGCTCTCCTAGACCACTGAGGCGCCTCTGGAATTGAGGGGCTAGCTGCACCACCCGCCTGGTCCGCTTGGCATCGCTTGGCATGGACATGAGACGAGATGATAGACTCTTCTGCCAGGCTGCTCCAGCAATTGTTCCCGCTCGTAAATCTCGAGCAGCTTCAGTGCAACTGCCGGGCCAGGGTCTGGAGGGTCTGGGTCTGACTCTCTGACTCTCAATCTTTCTGCTTTGCGCCCGGCCTGCACAGGACACGGGATGCCCGGTGTAGGTGTAGCCGTGACCGAAGACTCCGCCTGTCTCCAAGGCGATGCAGCGAGGCAAGCGAAGTCTCTTTCTGTTTCCGCCTCGTCGCTCCGTGGAGGCTTCGATCGCGTCGTACATGAAACGCGGGAGGATGGCAGCCTCACGACAAGCTCGCGCTCTGAAAAGAGCGGCAGCCTGTCCTAGTGCAGTCTCAATCCAGTCCGAGTCACACTGAGTGGCACATATCCCGAGGTAAGCTGCTTGGCACAGCTCAGCAAATCCACGGTCTGCTGAAAGGCGGTGCAGCCCCACATTTTGCCGGTTCGGCCAAAGCCGGTGATGACTTCGTCACCCACCATCATGACGTCGTACCTGAAAGCTTGAGGCTTGAGCAAGCCCTGGGCTTCCGCCCTACTTGACAGATCCTGATCCGGCCTGTCGCAGACCTCTCGCATGGCCGGGAAGTAACCGGCGGGCCTCTGCAGCGCTACAAACACGGCGAATGCGGCAGGGGTCCAGTGCACGGCAAGCTGCGGCAGGATCACACCTCCGGCCCCTTGCAAGGGCTCAGCGAAGAAGGCGGCGACCTCGGACAGGTCCATGGCATGGGCTGCAGAACGCTGCAGTGCAGAACTCCGGCCTGGTCGGGTCCCTCTGCGAGGATGAGCTCCTCGAGCTCCGTCGCCAGGCGTCGCACGAAGTCGGCCTCCGACTCGCCGTCTTTGCCATAGCCTCGCAAAAGCGAACTTCCAAAGCATGCAGACTGCAGGGCACTGCAGGCCACTGCAGGCGCAGGCTGCAGGCGAACGGCGATAGAAGGAAGGGCAGCTGACGTGCCGCACAAAGTCGAGCGGAAGCCCCATCTGCGCATGGACATGCGGGAGTCCGGTGATGGAACCACTGGCAACGGTGACCTCAGCTGCACGGAATCCGGAATGTCCTGTCGTTGCACAAGGAGCAAATATCCCGATCAAGGCATCTTATCTGTGGTTGAAGGATACCTCAAAAGGGCCAAGTGTTTCACCTGTTGCATGCGGTGTCGCACGTGCTTCCTTGCTGCCAAAGCAACCCCATGGTAACCATGGACTCTCCCGATAATCTTTCGCTTCTGTGGCAAACCTCTGACGGTGTTGTAGTGCCAGAGCAGCCGGACCTGCCTTGGCCACGACACTCCGCTCTCTCTCTGCGCTCCGAAGCTCTCAGACGCTCTCAGACGCTGCTCGTATCGTTGCAAGCTGCGTATCATTGGCATCCGAGCCGGACATCCCGAAGAACACCTTGCCACCCTGCAGTGTGTCCGGAGCCAAGCTGATTAGCTTCTCGGCGAGCTCCTGGAGTGCCGAGTCAAACTGACCTGGCCTTGGGGGCCTTGGCGGCCTTGGCCAACTTAGAATTGTAAGGTATCTTGCCCAACCCCCAGACACCTACAGAGAATTGGGAGGCGCGTGCGTGTGCACGCAACCACCTGGCAAGACAAACAAGGCTTCTCTTACCCCATGTAGACTCACGTGTCAGGCATCGATGGCGCTCCGATGCATGTGGAGGTGCCGCATGTGAAGTTCGAGAATGGCTCCTTACCTTCACACTACAGACTACAGTACCAGGTTGCAGCGACAGGAGTCCTATGGGCCTATGCGTGGATCGACATGAGCGAATTGAAATGGTGAAGATAGCACACGCTCCGACACGGAGGCTTGTCACAAAAGTCCTCTGCGATGGGAACTTGCCTGCCTGCAAAGCAGTGGTAGTAAGACAAGTTCCTGGGCCGCTCAACAACTCCGATTCCCGTCCACTCTGGGTTACATGAGTCGGACGTGTGCCTCATCTGTCGTGTAGCCGCATCCACCAGCTCTTCATGGCCCCAGCCGAGAGCTGTGCACCACAGCCCGGCCATGGCCTGCCCAAGGGCAAGGACAGCGCCGGGGAGTGCCCAGTGCCGAGAAAAAGATGAGAAAAACAAGCAGCTTCTCATGCCGCCGCGGCTCTTCAAGGTACTCCTTCCCCGTATCATCATAGACTTTCGCGCCCTTGCCCGCCACGATGCGCAAGGGCTGGCCTGGCAGACGGGGGACGGGAGACGTCCCTCAGGACTGCGCCCTCAGGGCGCCCTCACTTTAGGCATCAGTTTCTTTCAGACCAGGCGTCTCCCGCGAAGGGATGAGAGGTTTGTCATAGGATACAGCAAGGATCCCGATCCCGAAGTCACAGAGCTCTGCGCGGCAGTTGCGAAGCGCCGCATTCCACGGAGGGTCACGGGAACAAGCGCCATCCCACTACCGGCTACAAAAGTCTAAACTTGCTGAGAGCTACAAGCAGCTACAATACCTTTGCACGACGCTTGAGAACTTCTTGGGCTTCAATGTCCATGGCGGTGAAACGACAGGCTTGGCGCAAAGCTCTGATTGCATGAAACATGCTGTCGCGATCAGAGTCTGGGCGGGCTGCATGTCAAAGTCATCTTGATCCCTGGAGGACACGAGGTAAAGACCTGGGTCACACTGCAAAGCCTCGCAACGCTGGCCGCAGACCTAGGACCGTACGACCTGGGATCTGGCTTGTTGTTTCCACTTTGTGGGTTTTCTCCAAGTCCTCTCTGATTTGCTTCAAAGTCTCCTGCTTCTCCACAAAGTTGTCCTGTTGGAGCTGCAGAGGCAGGCAATCTGAGTTGCCAAAACTCTCAGACCAGCATTGCCCTGTGCAGACGGGATTCCTCCTTGTTGTTGGCAATGTCCTGATCCACCTTGCCAGGCTCATTATGAGATGGCGGCACTGCAAAATGCCACGGCCTTTAGCTGCCTTGGTCCGAACCATGCGATACGGGACTCCGTGGCGCTCCAGTTCACCGCGCAGTGCCTCCTGAGCTGCCACGGCCTAAAGCTGCAAACTGTACGAGGCTCTTGCCCCCACCCTGCCTCCATCTCGGTGAACCGTCCAGCTGTCACCACCACCACCTCGTCGAAGTATCGCAGCCCCATGTCCTGCAGGACGTATTCATGCCATGCCCAATGACAGCAGAGGGCATAGAGGCATAGTGCGCAAGAGCATGAGAATCCTGTAGATACGTCTCAGCAGGGACGGCCGCGGTTCCAGCGCCCGGAAGGTCCCAGAGGCGGACCAGTGGACTCGGCCACAGCTGCTCAAGAGCTGCATGCAGTTCCCGATTTCTGAGGTGTGTGCTGATTCGGATACGGATACCTTCCAGGACACAAGACCAGTACTGTACACAAACAAGGGATGTTCTGAGACTGGTGCATGGTGGGCACTCTCGTCGTCTCGTTCACCCCAACGGCAGCCCATCCCTCTGCTTGTGGCCGCAGCTTCCGCAGCCTCCGACTCGACAGCGCTCGAACGGTGGCCGCAGCACTACAGCTGGCGTGCCTGTTGATAAGAAGGGACTTGCCGACACCAGAGTTGCCCACGACTGCAATGTTGATGCAATCCTCAACCTTCTCCTGGCCACAGGCCACGCAGGCCACGCAGGCCACGCATGACGTGCTGGGGGACTTGGGCTCTGAAGGAAACCCGTGCCGGGCGCTCGAGCCATGCCTCGGCAAGACGTGGGGAGGCAATGGCATGGACAGGCATGGACAGGTTTGTTCCGGGGCAGTTGCAGGCTGCGGATAATTCCTTCTCGCCTCTTCCCGCTTTCTCTGAGCCTCTCTCTCAGCCTGCTTCAACTCAGAATAGGCCGCTGCATGACATGACTGCTCCTCTGCGCAAGCCTCCAGCTCTGCCTCTCTTCTCTCAAGGTCTTTGGCCTTTGCCCGGACCTCCTGCTCCAGGACGACAGGCTGAATAAATTGCATGGACGAGCGAACCTTCTTGCGAGACTTGTTGGGGCAGGGGTGTCAAAGTCCACCCGCAAGGCGCGCACAGTCTACACTCCAATCCACTCATGACCTCTCATCATCGACCTTCTGGACTCTAAAAAACAAGGCACCTCCTTTTCTGCTCCAAGTTGCTCTCGCTCCTGGCATGTTCGGACCACGAAAGCTAAGGGCGCAGAGGAGTGCGGTAACGCGTAATAACTGCACTTGTCGGTGCAAGCTGCACCGAAGACAGCTCCGAATTACACTGCTGTGAGTGAATCAATCCGCAAACGGAAAGAAATGCTCAGATGTCCTGCCTTGGAAAACTGTTCTTGCAGGGAGGCTAGCTCCGTGACCAGGGCGTTCAAGCGCTGGGATTCCTGCAACAGAGAAGTCGCCCCAACGTACCACCCACTACTGGCGCGATTACATGTGACAGTGTCAATACGTACATGTACATGTATGTATGCAGTATGCATACATGCGTGTATGTCAGGGGTGTGTGTATATATATATATATGTGTGTGTGTACGTATGCATGCATGTATGCATGCATGTATGCATGCATGTATGCCTGCCTGCCTGCCTGTAGGTATGTATGCATATACATCTATACATCTTTACATCTATACATATGCACATATATACATCTATACAGAAGGAGGGGGAGGCGGCGGGACAGCCCCAAAAAGTAAGGACCCCACACAAAGATGGGGAGGAAAGCATCCAAGCCTAAAGCCTAAGCTCACCTTCTCTGACTGGGACTTCGGAACTTCAAAAGCGGCCCTTCCGGCCCTTCTACCGACCTCCGGCTTCACGGCACGGGGAAGATGCGACGGCTGCGCCTTCTGGCGCTCGGAGAGTCCTTTTGCAACTTAAGCAGAGCGAATCGCGTGCTCTACGTTAGACTTTACGCGTTGACACGTCAGCTTTGGCACCTTCAACCAGGGCATCTGCCAATAGGTCTTCTTCTGGCCTGTCGAGTCACACCCCCCTTTGTGACATCGACGTCAAGACGAGGCCGCGGCGATGGCTCCAGTTGCTTCAGCCACTCCTGAGGATAGTTCGATGCGTCAGGAAGACAAAAAACTCTGACTTTGACGCGAGGCAACCCCGACCCTGCCTGCGCTGAGGGCGCATCGAACGTCAGACCGGCAAGGTGTGACCTGAAGGCGCATGGCTGACCATGCCCCTCCGGCGTCTAGTTAGGGGTATGCCGCCCAAGGTCAAGCTGCCCCAAATTGGGTGCACAAGTTTTGAGCCACCGAAGCGCCGTCCTGTAGCGACAACCCTCGCCGAGCGGCGCTCCAGCGTCTGCCGAGGACTCCACGGGCCTGGATTCCCAGGTCCTCAGCGAAGGCTCGACGCCGAGACATATGGCAGATGGGAGATGCTCTGAGGCAGCTGCTGCCCTGCAGAATCCACATCGGAGCGGCGCTTGAAAAGTGCTGAGAGCAGCTCCTGGGTCTCCAGATCCGACGCGTTAGCCCCTGAACCCTCGAGCGTGCTTTGGAGCCGGCGGAGGGCATCTCGGAAGGCCAAGCACACGAATTCAGGTGTGTTGAGTTTGCTGATCTTTATGAAGCTGCTGGACGCAAGTATGAGTTGGCAGGCGGCTTCGTTGGATGACTGCTAGGGTCAAGCCGCACCACGGCGGCTGTTGTCAGTCTCTGCACATGCATGCATTTCTGCAGTGAAACCAAATGACTGCGCCGACAACGGAAGTCGCAGGCCGCGTTTCGTGCTCTCCAGTGTACTCGCCGAGTGCACAGAGGGGGCTCCCTTTTATGCTGTTTTGAAGCATCCGGATGTTTGAGGACGCAACATGCAAATGCCGTTTGGTGCATGCTGGCTGCTGGCAGGTGAAACATCACTGCATGCTTGGATACACATGCCGTCGGTGAAACTGCAGATTCGTAGCAGGCTTCTCTGGTGTCGAGACGCACACTTCTGCTGCTAAGAAATAAAGGAGACAAGACATGAGAGTAGGGAAGGCTCCTCAGATTCTGGACACCATCCGGAAGCTCCTAGGTTGCAAGACCGAGGCAAGTACCTGAACTTTTTGGCACCCCTGCATCTCTGTACATGATGCCAACCGGCAATACCGGTGAGCCCAAGTCTTTGAAAATCTTGAGAGACCTAGAGGCCAGCGCGCACTCACCCTGGGCACGACATCTCCGCGCTCTCAGGCATCGCCTAGGCCTCCGATGGGAAAGGCTAGGCGACTGCGCTGGCCCACACAGATCCGCAAAGGGCTCCCGGCCAAAGCCAAGGGCGGTGGCCGCGGAGGGGGAGGAAGTGAAATCCCGTGTGTCCTTGGCATACAACACTGCAACACAAAATCCTACTCCACGCTAGCAACCGCACCGTCCTGCACTTGCACTGTGCTTCGGTCAAACGGGTGGAACGTTTGCTTATGCGAGAGTGCGTGGAACCGCGTCATGACACTGGCCCTGGGGTGAGAAGATGCCACCGGGATATCGCTTTGGCGGGAGTCTGCCTTCGCCTTCTGACTGTGCTTCTGCAGTCTGCATGCAGGATCGGTACATCGTCAGTCATGTGGGACGGGATCAATTCCGCCCTCCCTCGCGGACAAGTGGACAAGCAAAGATAAAGCAAAGATTATACTGCTTATGAGTCTGCCGATGGCCGGCCATCATCAGTTCAATGCATGTGTTTGCTGGTTTTGCTGAACTCCTGGAAGCCCACATCAGGATCGGGCGTGTCCGTCGCACACACGGGCGGAGAGCTGCTCTGTTCAGCAACATCTTGCATCTGCAGAATGGAATCGGCCTTGCCTCCCGAAGCACCGTCTTCACCGAGTTCAACTAAGACCGGGTGGCCATTCTCTCGATAAAGCTCTGACTGCAGTCATGGCTGCTGTGATGCGATGTTCATCGATGTTCCCAACAGTCAGTTTTGCACCATCTTGCGCGGCCCCGTAGTCCGGCTCTAGCCACAGATAGCCTCTTCCTGGCTCTTGGAAGCTTCTCTCACAGTGAAGTGAAGTTTCTTCATTTGCCACAGTGCACTGCACCTTTGCTGGAGTTCCACAGGAGGGATGCATGCGTTTTGTCAGCTGGCGCTACGAAAACCCCCTTCAAGCTCTGAGAGGTTTGGCATCCACATCGGTACGCACTGATGTGGGTGCTAAGCTGTACCGCTGAGGTCGAAGCTGCTCCCCGATGATGGGATTGAACCTGCCAGCTCTTTCGTGCTCTTACTTGGCGCTAGGCATATGAGCTGCCAATATCAGGAAGGCATTCGTAAGAAAATCGAGAATTCATGGGCCCGGGCCCCAAGTGATTTCGCATGGCCAATGCAGCCTCCCGCACCCTGGAGCGATACCTGGCATCCAGAAGCTTCAGAACTCGACTCGGGAAACCCGGCATCACGTGACAGGGTCGGACCAGCTACCGAAACCACATCGGGCGTGCATCCCACGGATAGTTAACAGCTCGGGGATGCCGGATCATGTTGTCGTGGTGCTCCAGCTGAGCCCCAGCGGGAGTCCTGTCATAGCCTCAGACTTCAGAGAGCGACGGGCACCCAACCTTAAACGTGACGGACTTGGCTGACGGCCATGGTTTACGATGTTGAAAGGCTGGCCTGATTCCGCTCATGCGACAAAACCGAAACCAAAATAGCTGGGTAAAGCACAGGCCTGAAACGTTCTTCCTTCCCATCATGGGATCATGCTGCATGCGCGAAACTCGGTCCACATCTGCCTGCGGACAAAGCTGGGCGGAGACAGCGGTCTGCCTTGTACTGTAGGCTGACTCCAAGACTGTTGTCTCTGTTGTCTCTCCTGGTCTGCATTGGCAATGCATCGCCATCTGTGCTCCTCCCTGTCGTACTTGCCTTTGCGGCGGGCCTTGACACATCGAGCTCGAAGCGACCCGCACCCGCATGAAGTGCCAAAGTTCGCGGAGCCTCTGTGAGCTCGTCTCGAACTACCTTGGCATGCTCGCGCTCCGCGTAGTTCACCTGAATCTTAACGGGGCGTGTCCAGCCATCAAGCCTTCAACTTCCGGACCTCCTCGCAGTGAGGTCCGGCAGTCATCCTTTCTCGAGGTCCGCAGTAACCAGGGCAGTTGAGAACCTCAAGCTTCTTGACATGCCCCTACACGGAAGCAACAGCTTGACCTGTCTTGAGGCCGGAACGACATCGATAGGATTGTCGCGATTCCTCACTCACGAAGATGTTGCAAAACTTCAATCTCCATGTCCCGACCATCAGCCGCAAGTCAACAGTGTAATGAGAGAGCAGGTGAAAATTGACAGCACTTGCGAAGTTGCTCTGTGCCGAGGCTCTCATAACGGAAGAAGCCCCCGGAGCGATGGCGTAGCCGCTCCTGCCGTTGAAGCTGAGCAAGCTGAGCAGTTGGCTCCTGCGAAGTCCTTCTCCAGGTCATCCTTCGTTTTCAGTGCATGGCGCACAGATCTCGACCTTTGGCTCAGAGAGTCTGGACCAAAACAGGGCAAGTTCTCAGCTTGCCTCGGCTGCATGGTGACTTCCTGGCTTCCACGTTCGGAACAAAGCCCTAAACCCAACCGACCACCCGGCCCAGCCTGCCTGCTGCCCGGCCAAGAGTTTGCGGCAAGATGAGCCCACAGCTGCTCACAAGGCTCCCGATCGGTCCGACATGCACACAGGAAACACACACCACTGCACAAGATACCGTGAGTCAGCACGCGCGGCTAATGGCAACGACGACACGAAGCTTGCATTCGGCAAAGAAATGCAGCGACTTACGCTGCAGAGCAGCAGCATCAGAAACGACTTGCGGTGTCTCTTCGAAGGACTTGATCGCAAACCGTTTGCTGAGCTTCCGCAGATGCCCTGCAGATGCAACGATCATCAAAAGCAGGATGATTACCCCCTTTTCCTCCGTATGCGTGGCAGAAATTATCGACAAACAGCAGCCGGAATCTGGAGTCTTCGAAGCTTTGGCCACTTGGAAGCCTAATCAATCGCGTCCTCTCCATCCAGCATACCGGATGGTTGTTGGATGCAATTGCCCCGTACTCCAGCCAGGTTTGTGGCGCCATAGCCTGCAGAGTGGTATCAATGATGTGAAGTTCCGTTTCACAAACCGATGCTGAAAACTGTCGGCGTCGCCTGCAAACCCTTTCTTCGGAAGGTCTAGACGTTGTTCATGGCCCTTTGCTTCTGCGTGTTTAGTAATTCCGCTGCTGACTGTGGTCAATGGAGGATCGAAGTTCCTCCAAGAATCGCTCTGTCGGAAGGTACCAGCACGAGTGCCTGGTGCCTTGCGGTAGCAATGCCAACCTCTTCCATAACTGCCTTCATTGTGGTTGGTGAACACAAGTCCGGGGATTGGATAGAACCAGCTACAATGATCCGGATTCCAACAAAATGACCTGCAATTCAAACGACCACGGCAATGGTTTGCACTTTGCTGGAATGCCCATCTCCATTCCTGCTCAGTTTTGTCTCGGTTTCTGTAGCCATCAAGCCGCACATCATCTTCCGTATATCTCCTATCCTCAGAACATGGGGAGAAAGTAGAATTGCGGGACCTACCATTGCTGGTTGGGATTGTTGCTATTACAAGCCCACATCCACACACTCCCTCCCTGGCTTCCACGATCTGGGGAATCCAAGCAGATACCGAACCAGTTCTTGAGGATACCATTTGTTTGTGGCTGGTAGTCCCCACTGCTGATTGACATTGCCTGGATCACAAGGCCACACGTGCACAAGGCCTCCATTGGTGTTCCGCTGTGAGGCATCCAAGCAATAGCCATTTACGTTTTTGACAACTCACTGCTGATTCACATTGCTGGGATCGCAGGGCCACATGTGGACGAAGCCCCCTATGTCCTTGCGCGTGGACGCATCCAGGCAGATGCCGTTGCGATTCCGGATTTGTGTTGGCTCGCTGGGGAACTGAGAAGCTTGAAGCATGGATCACGGATGTCCATTGCTTGGCCTTGACCGGGGCAGGCCCTGGCGGCATTTTGACTGCAGAACTCCCGTCAGATGCTTTCGATGTGCATTGCAGATCCTCTTGCAGAACAGCTGCAGCCGCCCGCATAAGGTCGCACACAACTCGTCGACCCCACAGTCGCGGAAATCGCGCCAACCGCTGTCGCTGTAGGAAGGGTGGCTGCTCTGGTGCAACTGCAGCAAGTCCAACTCCTCATTCTGCGGCTCAGAGTTTGGACACACATGGCCGTGGGCACAATGCTTCTGCATGGTTTGTTGAATCTGTCCGAATCGCCGGGTGCAGCGACGGTAGCAACTTCTGTATCCCCCAGCCATGGAAAAGGAACACAGTTCACGACACGACCTTGATGATTGACACAGTGAACGGCCCCGACCGGGCACTGGTCGCTGCAGCTTCGGCAACTTCACATGCAGCTGCTGGGCTCTCTAACCCAGCAGTGCAGCAGCGCTCTCCGCAAACATCAGCGCATGATCTGGTGCCTCCAAGGGATGCATAGGCCACACACTGCGTCCGCCCATCTTGCAGCATGCCGACCACAACTCCAGCTTTGCACTCTTCCTCGCCCGTCTGCAAGGGCTGCAAGAAGTCGCAGCGGGCTTCGGCCCACGGCAAGAGCAGTAGCGCTCGTCCAATCCAGTTCTGTTGCACTGGACTTGCTGCTGCGCTGCCAAGCTTCCACATAGTTCCGAGCCCATCAAACTGCATTCCTAAGCCCAACAAAAGTCGTCACAGCTCTCTTCGAAAACTGCCGCCAGACTGTTTCCAGCTTCCATTGACTGGGTTGAACGTTGCATCCTGACATGGCTTCACGGCTCCATGGTATCAAATAGTTGCGTGTCTCGTCGAGCGCTGGGACTGGGCAGACGCAAAGGGCGCTGTCCACTCCAACTGTGTCGCCTCTCTGCATGCCGAGGGTCTGTGCAAGTGCCGGTAAGATTCAGGTGCACTTTGTCGTGCAAGTGTTTTCAGCGGATCTTCGCAACATTCGTGCAAAGCTCCTCGCCACTGCCCAGCGGCTCGAGGAAGCTACAATCAGTTGGTTCGCGCCCCTGGCACAGGCAGTGCAGCTTGTCACAGGAAGTCTGGCAACGGAATTCTCAAGCTGGCACTCGTCTGCCCGCTAAAGGCTTCGTTGCACGTGGCGGCACCTCAGGAAGCCTAAACATCATTGCAGGTCATAGCACCGGACAACGACAATACAACACAGTTCGTGCCGTTGTCCTGCAACCTCTGCACGATCGTTCCGCTGGTGCACACCCTCATCCCATCAATAGCGTCCAAGAACTGGCAGCTCGGGACTGCCGCAGCCAATGTGAACAAACCACATACCAGGGCCCACATCGCCTTCAGAGAAGCCAGGAAAACTGAGTACGCCAATCACGAGGGTGGAGGGATTCGAGCCAGTGCTTCACGAAGCGTGCAATTGACCCCTCCAAGCTTGTGAGGCTCTGTCACAGCTCGCTTGCAGCGCCTGGCTGCGCAGGCGTGCAAACGGATCCTTTTGCATGGAGCTGCCAAGTGCCATCTTTCGGCTGTCAGTCTGTCAGGCTGCACGGGTCTTAGAATGCAAACAACCTAGAAGCGCTCTTTGAGCCCTTTTCGGTCAATGCGTGCCCACTGCAGCTAGCAGCTAGATTGACAGAGCCAAAGCGTGAACGACGTCCAGGCATGGCTAATGCATTATCTTCAGTGTCTTGACCTCTTCTGCCTGCGGATAGATCAGCCAAACCTGAGCCACAGGTTTGCCATGGGACCCACGGCCTAAATGGGCTCCGCCCTACAACGGAAGCCGAGGCTGGGGTCAGGGCTTCTTCCGACGCTTGCGTTGCCCCGGGGTCAGCCGCCGCCGCTCCCCCAACACATCCATGGGCTTGCGGATGCGCTTGCCATGCTGTAGCCTAGAAAAAGGCCCGAAAAAGCGACCGAGCTATAGCATGAGCGTGGGTTCATGCAGTTGAAACCAACCATGGCGAAGCCATACGAAGCCCCAATCCAAGCGGCTTCCAAAGCTTGTGTCGAGACAGTGGTGGCAGTGCCTGACAGGGGAGAGCAAAAGCCGAACGACTCACGCCTCGCTCCGATTCGGTTCTGATTCGGCTCGCATCGGCTCGCGATTCACTGCGGTTTGCCTCCACGTTGGTAGTGGCAGGGTCCATGCGGCGCTCCTTCGCCTGATCTCTGCGAAAGCTGTGCAAGCCGCGATGTAAACACAAAACAAACCAACCGCTGGCCGCTGGGGCCGTCGCAATCATTCGATCGCGTGTGAATCGATCGCCTCAGCACCGTGAAGATCCCAGCACACTAGGAATAAGGTCCATGGAAAACGAGGATGCAAGACTTGAAAGACTGCGGGGGATGGCGTTTGATATAGCCTACCAAGTACGCCATCAGGTCTAAAAATCTGTCATTTCGGAGTCAGATATCCCTTTCACATTTTCGCCTTGCACTTGCTCAGGGATCTGCGTCGCTTCTCAACGCCCGGAGTATCAAAGCTCTTCAGAGGATCCTGTGCGGCTGCACAGAAGCCCTCAGGGATGTTCTTTAGCTTTGGAGCGCCTGCTGCTTGGCCTTCATCAAGCGCTTCCTCAGACGACAGCTATGCAATGCTAGCCACGCAGGGTCGCCTTTGGCTGCATACACTGCGACTCTTCTCGGATTGCCCTTTCTCCTTTCTTACCCTTGCGCTGAGCGGCCGCCGGACTGCGCTCGTCGGCTTTCCCGCGCTTGCGTTGGCCTCTCGGACGGCCTTCTGAACCTCCGAGCAACATCTTTCAACCGTTAGCGTGGCGAGGAGAAATCCGTCTCGCAAGGCTCAAGCAGGCGTGGCTTTCTGGAAGGCTTCCGGCACAAGGTAGGAAGGGATCTCGGTGCACGTTTACTGTACCGATTGTCGGTTTAACGCTCGAGCATCGCATCTCAGCCAGCTGCACTTTTTAGATGCTGCCTCACAGACTTTCGCTCGCGAAGTGCTCGCTGCATCCTGTGACAGGCAATAGAAGCAACAGAAAAATGTAAGTCTGCAGTTGCTCTGAGCGGCTCCTCTGCAAGGCTCTCTTGTCATCTGGATGCTCTTCGAAGTATGCCTTTAGCTTCTCGGAATGCAAGGCCTTCGCTTCACTGCTTCGGTGGGTATGACCACACAGCACATGCTCACGAAGTGGGAATGCCTCCATCTGTAGCTCCCGTGCACGATACTTGGATATGGCCTTCTTGGTGAGGCCCCTTGCCTGGTAGCCAGCATTGCTTTCTCCGGCGAACATGAGTCGTCTCATGCAAGCTACATCACCGGAGAACCGAGACAAGGACCATGTCTTCAACACGGTAGCCTGGCTCCGGCATATCCCATGGCACAAACTACGAGCCCTCAGGTTGCAAGATTCTCGGATGTGCAACCAGGAAGCGGAAGCGCTCGGCATCGGAGATCTGCATAGGTAGGGCTTGGAGCCCTGTGCCTGCTCTGATGATCACGCCCTCGCTCAGAGTGTACCCATGTCCGGTGCCTGTACGGCTCTGCGCATGAATGATCTTCTGCAGCAAAGGCCTTAGAACTTGCACAGCTCACTGTCAGAGACAACACCACAAAATCTGAGGGAGGTACTGCTCTTCATGGGTGCAGATCGTCAACCTCAAACGCTCCACGAAGCAGTTCAAAGGAAGTTGCTGCTTATGGTGCCTCGAAGGAAGCTTCCCTGCACTGAGTCCTTCGCGCAGTGCCGCTCTGGCCACCCCGAGCACAGCGTCCCACCCGGTGCACCTAGTGGATGCAGGGCGGCCGGGATGTCAAAAGAGCGATGCAGTGCGACACAACAAGCAGACTGAGCTGCACACGTAGTCCCGCACCGACGTAGGCACGTCTGCGTTCAGGACAGTGGTTACCTTGAGAGCTCAAGATGAAGGTTTAGACCGGCGGGCAAAGGGAAGCCTGAGGCCTGAACTCCTTGCAAGTCCACTCCCCTCGTGAGGGAATACTGCTCATCCTGACGCAAGCATTGGTGGACCGTAGGCTTTGCGTCGGTGTCGGCTCATGCCTGCATCCTCCGACGCCCCGGTTTGGCTTTCGCTTCGGCTTTTGCCTCATAGGGCTCAGCAGCAGAAGTCGCAGCTTCATGTTGCTCCGACGCTCCGACGGGTCTGACAGGTTCGACCTCCTCATCCTTCGGATGACAGCTCTGCGGGTATCGCGGATGCTGTGACGACAAGAGGGCTTCCGTCCACCTCGTCTGCCTCTTCCTCCTCTTCGGCTTCGTCGTCCTGCTCCTCCTCTGCGGCATCAGCCTCCAGCCGCGCAAATTCGAGCGTACGGCTCAACCGTGTGAGCACTTCTAGAGGATCACTCTCCGTGTCTGCGGCTGCAGGATGGCTGCGGACGGCCGGGCCTTCGCTGCCGGAGTCGATTTTCGCAACGCGGACCTCCGTCTGAGAGTCTCAGAGCCGAGTCCAAACCGAGTCCGAGAGCGCAGCGGAGCGCAGCGGAGCATCTGCTCTCGGCACGGAGCACCTGCGAGCCGATGGCGAAGCCGATGGCGAAGCAGCGGCAGCAGCGTCCTGTTTTAGTTTTGAAAAGGGAAATTATGTCCACACCTTGCTGTCCTTCTTGGATCTCTCTTGCTACATCCATCCCTGCTTATCGGGTTGCGAACGCAGTGCGCGTGTCAAGGTCCTCTGCAACTGCATCATCTTCGCATTCCTCTTCCTCTTCCTCTTCGTCCTCCTCCATCTCGTCGTCTTCACCCTGAAGCAAGGTCGCGCTGCTGGGGCGGGGAGTATGACGCCCCGGCAGCCACTTTTTGTCCATCGCCGAAGACACATCTCATCTGCACTGGTCATCCAATCCTCGCATGTCTCAGTCAGAAACTCGGGGAGTGACCACGAGGCGACTCCGTCCGAGCCCGAGCCCTGGCAGGAACCGAACTTGAACATCTTGAACGGCTCACGGATTCGCAGTCTCAATCGGCCTTGCAAAGCAGCCACAGGAATTCGGGCGCTCCAGGCTTCAGAGTGTTGTCCGCGAGGATGCGGCCGCCTCCGCCTCCTAGCAGTGCCTCCGTACGCTGCAAGTGGACCATGTCCGCATGGAACCGGGTGCCGCGGTGGTCAAGAAATGCAAAGTCCGTACCACCTCGATGGTTTGGCACAACACCACAATGTCACGACAATATACTGCAATCTTTGAGTCAGCTTCTAAAGCCCTGCTGTTGGCTCATCTGTTTAGTCTCGGCCTGCACCCCAGTCCTCGACCAACCGATCCAGCACATCGTGTGCCATCCCGGGCATGATCTCCACGCGGTGGGAAAGTCCGGCAAGGGCGACAACATGTCGAGCTACCAGCACATGCACCGCATCGGACTCCAGCGACACGACGTGGTGGCATCCTTGCTGTGGCCAAACCTAGCCATGCTATCCCCAGGCCCGTGTGAATCTACAGCCCTCTTAACCAGCCAGGAGTATACTGAAGCGAAAGGGTGTCCCTGCAGCACTGCTCTCCACCACAGCGGTCTAAAGTCAACACGAAGCAGCAACAGCAAATACAACCAAAATCAATCCTGAATCCTGTGCTGCTTGAAGGTCTCGATGTTGCAAACCCACGACAACAAGGGCATAGCAGCGGAAAAGATCGAATCAACTGCACCGGGGACTAAGTACACGGTGAAAATATCAGGACAAGGCATTCTCCTCTGTGCTCTTTTTGCTAGGCTGTCGTGACGCACGAAAATACAGTAGTGAGAGCTTCCGTCAGTCACGGCAGCCAGGGCGGAGTAAGTATGGTCGCCTCTCTGGTTCTGAAGCCGGGGCTATAAGTCAGGTCCCGGTGGTAGTGAGGGTGCAAGACGAGGCTGGGTCCCGGGTCCCTGACATAGATCATGGTGGCACTTTTATGGCAAGGTTCTCTCACAACTGACCCTCTCTCTCGCTCTCTGTCTCTATGTCTTTCTGTAGGGCTTGGGGGGCATGTCGGCATGTCACCACCCTGCGCTAGCTTTTCGGGGTGGGTGTGATACAACGCACTGCCAGAGAAGGGGGGCCGGCTGGTGCCAGGATGTGCCAGATGCCTTACTGTAGCCTCCGCTTGGCTTCTTCGCAGCGCCCAACAGCTCGGTTTCACTGGGTGCCTTGTTCGACACGGGGCTTGCGGTGTAGAGGCTGTGGAGCTGGGGCCTCAGAGGCTGATGAGAGAACGAGAAGTGAAGACCGATGATGCTCGTGATGCTTTCCCCTTACAAGCCTTTCGACGTTTCTATGCGCGATTTTCACGAACTTCATGTGTCCATGTAACGTCTCAACAATATGTCAGCTTTTGCCTTTGGTTCGGGCCCTACCGTCCTGCACGCCAGGCCATTCGCACGCAGGAGTAGCCAACAAAGGATCCGAACTCGGCCACGACGGCCCTCTCTGGCGCAGGTCGCAGAGCCAGAGATGCATCGATCACCTCCGGCGGACGCAAAGCTCTGCGAGCTCAAAGCGCATTTTTTTTGCAATGCGGGGGCGGCCCGGCGGCTGCGGCCCCCCGGCCTGGGCCTTGGCCTCGCCGGCCACTTTGAGCCACTGGTGCTGGCCCGGCCTGGAAGCGAAGACTTCGCAGGCCTCGACTACAGCTGGGGCACTGGAAGTCCCCGTCGCGGCCATGAAGTCCATCAGCCGGACGACTTTCTGGTATCTTCGGTGCAGAAAGGCCTGCTGCGAATCGGAAAAAAGACCCCCGTCGCTCCTCAGCACCCGTGCCTCGAAACCTGCGTCCACCCGGGTCCGGGTCCACCGAGTCTCCACTTGCAGCGGCAGACGCAGAGTCAGCGAGCTCCGCATGGCCAAGAGCAAGGTCCTGAGTCTGAGTCGCGTTCGCGCGGAAGACTCGGGATGGGGAGCTGTTTGCGGAAAGGAACTGATCGGCCGCAACATCCTTCTCCCACAAGGCAAGCATCATGAGAAAGCCCGTCGAAACCGCATCCAGCACACCCTGCTCCGTCCTGGCACGAGGCATGTGCCTTCAGCACTGTCATCGAGCATTTCTCTTTAGGGCACGGACCCGGAGGGGAGCAATAGTCTCCAGGAGCCACCTGCGGCAGTCAAGAATTGCAGAAGAGGCGAGCAGCCCGGCAACCCGCTCCCGCAAGACGGCCTAGCCCCGCACGCCAAAGAGGCCACGCAGCCGCCAAGTGACAGCCTGAGCCTGGAGCTCCAGGAGCGTAGTTTGTGGAGACAGATGGAACAAAGAGGTAGGACGAGGGAGAGACAAAGAGGGAGAGAGGGCCGGAAGAAGGAGCCTGCTGTAGGATGCACAAGCACTCTCTCTGCGATGCCATCCATCAGCAAGCCCTCTGCAGCAGTCATTGTGCCGATTCTTCATGCCGAGTTGGTGAGCCCCTGAAACTCAAAGTCATGAAGCCTTTCCTTGGATGTCTGCATTTCGTTGCTGAAGCATGAATTTAAAACACAACCCCGGAGATGTTTCCAACAGGGGCAAAGAAACTGTGGCGGCCAAGGAGACTGCATCAGTGAATGGCCGATGCTCGTGCGCAGCTTCTGCTGGCGCCCGCAACATGTTTGATGGGCCTTGGGCATCAAGCTGTAGCAGGACGGGGCTGGCAGAGACCACGGTCCAATCGAGGAGAAGGAGGCCCGTGACGTGCACGCGGCCAGAAGCCTCGGAGTCGAAGAGGGCCTAAAGAAGACCAGACCAGTACGGGCCATAACTGCCATAACCATTCCAAGGCACTTGGACCGTGTTGGCAGTGTCCTGCGGGCTGGGACCGGTGACGGCCACAGCGACCGTTGTCGTTGCGGTCGCATCCATCGAAGCTTGCTCTTGCGACAGCAAGGAGCTGGGATCTCAAGCCGCGTTCGAAAGCTCCTGCGGCTTAAGCTCGAAGCCTTGAATCCTCCGCACAGCCTGAGAGCCAAAAGCTCTCAGCGTGAGGCGGTGTGGAAGGGCCGGCTTCCCGGAATTCCGAATGGCGTTGGACAGGCTCTGGCAGCCAAGCTCCTGGACCTTTGCCGTGGCCTCCCACAAAGCATATAAAGTGAAAACTTGGGCTAAGCCTAAGCGAGCATCTTCCTTCCTTCCAAAAGGGTGAGGTCCTAAGTAAGCATCTCTTTGCTTTGCTTTGGGGCAAGGAGAAAGGGCCTAAGTAAGCATCTCTCTCGCTCTCTCTCTCTCTCTCTCTCTCTCTCTCTCTCTCTCTCTCTTTCTACCTTCGAGCGCTTGTCCTCGCCTCGAAAGCCAAGACTTCCAAAGAGGGCTCGTGGGGAACAAGAGGTGTTGCCATGCTCCACACCAGGTTCCCCAAGCCCTGGGGGCTGGGCTGCTGGGCTTTCGCTGAAGCTCTCGCCGCAGTCGCTTGGAGCAGCGCTTCGCCACGCCAGCCGGTCCTTGCGGAAGCCAATGCGAGGCTCACCAGGCTCAGTGGCCCAAAGTCCTCCAGCCGGACAGCTGAAGCGGACGCAGTTGCTGCGAGAAGCCTGGTGTCGCACGAATCTGGGAGGCCGAAGGCCCGTGCAGTGCCTGCCAGGTTCTGATGATCGGGCTCAGGCATGGACTTGAGACCGATGGATCCGAGCACATGCGAGAGCGGCATCTGCTCCGTTCGGAGTGCTGCGAAAGCTCAAGCACTGTTGGAAGGATCCTGGCAGCTGGACTTCTATATCCTCATGAGCTTTAGCGCACAGCCGCTCGTGGATTAGAAAGAAGCCACACCTCGAGTGGCTGACTTGCTGAGATTTCGGAATCTGTTCGCCAAATTCTGCGGTCTGGGCTCTGCCCGCTTCGCAACTGTGCAGCGTGCTGCAGAAGCTGCTGGTTCCCTCCCTTGCACTTGCGGCCGTGCCGATCTCCAAACCATGTTGCTGAGGTTCTGTGCTGCAAGCGTGGGAAGCTTCTGCTGGGCCTGTCCCATCAGCGCTGCCACCAACGACCGAACTAAGACGTTGCAAGTGCCATGACCCCGCAACATGTTCGTAGTTCCCTGGGCATCAAAGTCGGACCTGATGCCAAGCTCGCCCATGGCAGCGAAAAACCTCTGGCCTAAAAGCTTGGGCTGCGCAAATGTCCGAACCGAGTTCGAAGTGCTCTGAGGTGCGAGCTCTAGAACGTAAGCCCGACCCCCTGATGCTTGGAAGGGCAGCGTGCCGTCAGCCAGCATGCGCGTGAACCATCGGGCGATGTTTCCAGGGCTCCGTGAATCAATCTCGTTCATTTTGACAATCACTTCTTTGGAGACACCCTGCAGCAGCGCTGCATCCCCATGTACCACAGCAGCGAATGTCCGGAGGGTGTTTGCTGTGTTCTGCACATTGAGTTATCCAAACAACTCCGACGCCCGCAGTGAAGCAGCTGCTGACAATGGGACACCGAAGGGGTTGAAGCGGGCAGGGCTTCATGACGTGTTGGAAAGGCTCTGAACTCCGAAATCAACAATGGTCGAAGTCGTCTGTGATGCCACTGCCAAGAGGAGGGGCCGGTGCTCAGATCGCATAACCGCAGAAGCCCAAGAGGCGTTTGCAGGGTTGCGTGCACGAGGTTGTTGCAGAGTGCAGATGGCAGTGCCAGCGATCGTCTCCAACAGCGCCTCGCTGGAACCTAAGCGAGCTGCCGCGGCTGCCCATGCCAAGCTTGCAGGCTCCGTCGGCGAGAGTGCACTGGCAGCTGAGGCTAGGGATTCCAAAGACTCTGAGCCTATTGGGAGCTCAGAGCCTCTTGCTTGCAGTTTGCTGAATGCCCGAAGTGTTTGCGCAAGCTCCGGGGCACTCAGGTCCTAGAAGCTCAAGGAAACTGCTGAAAGAGCTCAACTCGCCAACTCGCTCACGAACACCGATCAGGCAGAGGCACACCTAAGTGTGGCAGCCCCATGTTGGTCTTCCCATGAGCCACATGGCCTACAGTACTGTAGTGTAGTGCTTGCCTAGGTGCACCGCATTCGCCGAAGCCTGCGCTGTGAACTCATTCATGCGGCTTACCACCCTGGATCTTATCTCGGCTGTCATCGGCACATTATCGCTCCGAAGCGTTGACGGTCACCAAGCCCCACTCGCAAGCTCCAGCGCGGAGAGCTCGGAAGCGCAGCCCAGCGACGCAAATGCAGCCAACGCCAACCTCCGTCTCTGTCAGCTCTGTCAGCGGCCATGGCCCTGTCGGGGGTCTCCCCGACCTGGAGACACCATTCAAGCGCACTCCAGGTTCACATGCCATGCGACTGAACACAGAGCTCCTTCAGTTCGATGTCTCCAAGACTGGCGACAGCTCGTCTCCGAACTCCCTGAGCTTCCGCGCAAACCTCGAAGACTCACTGATCCTGGTCCTGGCAGGACAATGCGATTTTAATCTCCGAATCGTCGGCGAAGCCCGCACCTCCGGTCTCGATGCGGCCGGTCGCTTCATCGTCGGTCCCTGAATCACGGCCTGGCCATGCCTGGCCGCCTGTGTGTTCGGAGCTCATCTCCGAGACCGGGCCACTGGGAGTCCATGGCCGGCGGAGCACACACCCATCTCTTCTTGCAAACTCTCAACAGTCTTGCCGGCATAGCTTGATGAGCACCATGGGCTTAAGTTTGTAGCAGAACTCGTGATTTGTGTCGCTGTCAAAACTGTTTTCTAAGCCTCCTGACAGCAATGGAAGTTTTGCAGTTCTGCCGGTGGAAAAAGCACTGGAGGCAACTTGCTGCGAACCCAGCCTCGCCAAGTTCTTCTTCCTTTGGCATTCTTCGCTCATTCGCTCTTCGCATGTGTGCATTCCACTCGCGGTCCTCATTGCCCCCGAGGCCCTCATCAGTGGCCTCAGGATTTCATGCTGGACAGCGGCCATACAGCTTCCCACGTTTCCATGGCGGAGGCGACACAGATTTGTCGGGCAAGTGGCAACAAGCAGCTCTACTGCCCCCTGATTGAAGGAGTCGATGATGTTCTGACCTGAGATCGGAGAATCGGTGGCGGAATCTCCAAGAGTCTTCTGCGCTCCGAGGTGAGCTGCAGGCGGCTAGCGTGCGGTAATTCGGAGTTCAGCACGGCAGAGTTGATGCTGAAGCGCTCCAGCCTCTCGACTCGTTCGAGGGCTCAACGCTCAAGGCCCCCCGCCGCGCCCGTGAGTAGCGGACAGGATCTTCAGCCGATAGGCCGCTTCAACGCTCTGCACGAAGATGAGCCTGGGCCGCATGCGGCCGCATGCGGCCGCGGAGTCACGCACCCTTCTGACCTTGGGCCAGGCTAAGGCTGAGGCGTCTTTCCCTGTATCAGCTGCAGCTTCCTGCAGGCGGCCAACGGTCGGACGGTGGGTCCATGCGAGGCATGCTCTCTTTTGCATATCCGAGGATCAGTAGCGTGTAGATGATCAGGAACTTGTCGGTCTTGTGGCAGACAAAGTAAAACCTGAACATGTGCGAAAAGTTGACATAAATTTTAGAGGGACTCTGGAGGCGCCGGCTGTGTAAGCTTTCCCGTCACACGCGGCTCCTCCAGCTTAAGGACGACCGGCTTGTGGAGCATCAGGCCCTACAGAAAGGAAGGCCATGCACATCCCCTTCCTTTGCAGCTCGGAGAGTCTGAAGACGTGTCCTTGCCTTGAGCTGCTCAACTTCCTCTGACAAAGTCGCAGAGACCAGCATCGCCTGCCAGAAAGGCGAGCTTCGCGTTGGGACCGGAGAGAGAGAGAGAGAGAGAGAGAGAGAGAGAGAGAGAGAGAGAGAGAGAGAGAGAGAGAGAGAGAGAGAGAGAGAGCCAGACTAGGGGCCTGGTATTTCGGTGGCATCAAGGCACACAGAGCCTTGACCTTTGCAAAGGCTGTCGCCCTGTTGGTGTTGGGTTGCAGGGAATGACACCGTCTCGGGAGCCGGCATCCTCCTCGTAGCCGTATGAAAACATGAGGTCGGCTTCGTCCAGAATCAAGACTTTGAGTGTCCTGGCTGGCAGGGCCGCTGGCAGCTGCCAGCTCGCGACGTCAGAGACGTGAAAACACGAACGTTGCCAGCTCCGCTCTGACAACGGCTTCATGGCACCTCTGGCCTGAAAGCACGAGGCCGCTCATGAGATCGGAATCCGAATCCGACGTTGCTTCATTGGGCCTCCCGTTGCTTCACCAGTGCAAGAAGCGAGGAGGGTGTTGTCACCAACCTGCCACGGCCGCCGCGAGTCTACACAGACAAAGCCATCAATTGTTGATAGCTCACAGGGAAGGCCACTTGTTTCAGATGGAGTTCAGGCCGCTTGAAACTTCCCGTGGATCAAGGGGGTTGACAATGCCGCCTACACAAAGCTCTTGTTTTGTGTCGCTCATCTCTTTCAGTAGCGCTGAAAGACGTTACAGTGCGGCGTCCGAGCGGCATCACCGGCAGCTCTGCTTTGCTGTACTTATCCTCGGCAGCTCCAGCGGAGGATCCAGCTTTCGACTTCTGCAAACGCTCAGGCTCTTCCCTAGCGAGGCCCCAAGGTCGAAACACCAGAGAGGAGGATGTCCACGGTAAGAACATCGAAACAGAAGCTTAGCCTGCTGCGCGCAGCGCGACAGCATAACAGCGCAGCAGGGCAATGGCAAGAGAAGTGTCAAACACGGCCGGCAGGCAAAGACGTCACGACGCGGTGCACCTGAGCGATGAGCTCCTGGCGAGCTTTGCTACTCGGCCAGCATCAGGCAGAGAGGCGAAAAACTCAAAGGTCCTTGGTGGGAACCAGTATGAGACCACTCAGAGGTGTTGCCGAACCTCACAAGAAGCATGACTCTTAGAAGCATATGATGCATACCAGCGCTTGCCTTTGGCTTCCACCTCTTGAAGCAGTCGCTGCACCTCAGATGCCAGCAGTTACAGGACTCCTGTGATCTCCCCTACACGAAACATTGGGCGCTGGCAAGCGGGATTGCGTAGCACAGAGTCTTGCCGCTCCCGGTTCGTGCACGACAGAGCAGGTCCTTCGAGTGCTTGCAACAGCTCCACGCAACAGTGAAGGATGGCAGGTCCTTGCCCTCCAGCGCGACAGGAATGCCGCGTGACTGAACAAGCCTCGCCGTGCTGACAACACTATCGCGCCGCCAACATATGTACATGAAGCCTCTCAGCACGGCTTTTGTGACAAAGCTCGGACTCTTCACAACGGTGGGTTCGGTACAAGGCTTCCCCATTCCCGGCTGGTGCCAGGAAGAATGTACCAAGCGTGCACTGTTGGATAAAGTTGAGCAGGAACTGCAGCAAAGTGGTTGGATTCCTGAGGGCCGCTGCGTTGGCCTCTGCAACCTCAGCGTGTCTGTCAATGCCTTGGAGTCACAGTTCGCAAGCTAGGACGGCGAGGGAGCACCAGAGCACTCACTGGAAGTCGCCCGGGCCTTCGTGAGGCGTCGATCCAGATGCTGCTTGCCTTGGTCACGCGGCGCTCCCTTCCGTTTCGCTGCGGTTTGCACGTGAGGCCCCTGAGGCCCGTTCCGAATTCCGCCCAGGAGGTTTTCTCATCCAGCAGCGAGGGCCCATGGCTCATCGGGGCTGGGCCCTCGCGGATAGGTCTTAGCAGTAGCATGCACTGGCATGGATGCATTCTGATGTGTTGCGGCGCTGCTGTTGAGTAGGGCTGTTTCTGGTTGTGGCTCGTGTGATAATCCTCTTCAACTGCCTAGACAAGCACTCACCAACATCAGCAAGAACCTTTGCCAGAATCAACAGCACTGCCAGCACACCTGGACCAGCGCAGCCTTTTCTTAAGCATGCAGCTCATTCAGCGGCGGCTAAGCTTGCAGCGGCTTGTGCTAGCTTGCAAAGACGCTCAGACGCGATGGATCTGGCCTTGGCCTCCCTGGACTGTGGATACGCCAAGAAGGCCAGCCACGTAGAAGGCCAAGGCACACAGCAGGAAAGCCAGTTGGAGCAGATTTGCCATGATCAACAGACAGAACGGTCGACCTTCACCTTGGCTTGCAAAACGGGGGCGCGCGCGCGCGCGCGCCTTCTTCGAAGTCGTCTTTGTGAAGTCTCTGGAACTTGCTGAGTCTCCGGCCCACGAGGCTTGGCGATGGCGCGAAGGCCGTCAGAAAGTAATAGGCCGGCAAGGCCTGCTGGGCCGCCAGCACCAAGTACACAAAGCCGTCCCAGGAAGTCGACACCCTGGAGCCAGACAGGGCGGAGGACAGGGAATCGGCCCAGAGTGTTTGCGCGCCTTCGCGGGTTCAGGGCTTGGGCCTGGATCGACTCAGACTCCCCAGCCACAGTGCGGAAGGCTTGTGCCAGAAGTGCCATCGATCCAAAGAACTCCAGGCAGTGCGCCAGCATGAAGAGCCTGGCCGCGTGCCACGGTACCCTCCGGATCATTCTGCTGCGATTTGCTTTCCCTTTCCGCCTGTCGTTGGAGTAGTCGCCTCCCGGCTCGGCCCCGGAGAGGTTCAGGTAGTGACGCGACGCCGCCCAGGCCGCCATCGCGAAGAAGGCACCCGTGCACCAGGAGCCTCAGAGGCAGAGCCATCACAGGCCCGAATGGCCCCGGGATGCCCCGGGCCCCGGCCTCTGCTTCCGACCTTGGAGCAGAGGGCAGCCAACCAGGCACCGGAGGTGACCTCAGAGACTGCCCACGAAGCGAAGCTGGCGCTGCCCCCCCCGTTTCCCGCCTCGCAGAAGACAGCGAAGGAACCGCCAAGAGGCCCATCCAGACCTCTTCGGGCGTCGTGCCATTCTGCTAAGCTCGCTTCTCATCTCTTCTCCTTTATTCCAGGCCACCATAAGCGGAGCTCTGCGCTGAAAGAAGGCTTCGTGCTCCAGCTGCTGCCAAGTAAAGCGTCGACGAAGCTCCTCTTTGGGACAATTTCAACACAGAGCCTTCGGATCTTCCCTCGCGCCCGCCAAAGCCTGCCAAAGGAGAGCCTTTCGCCGTCTGTTGGGACATGCGGAGAACGACCGTCACCCACACCAAAAGCCTGCCACAATCAACACCCATGCGTGCTTGCCGAGAGAACTCTTGCGCTGCTTCTCGTCCCGACCTCAGCATGGCCTGCACCGCCAACAGGGTGTCCGCACCCATCAGAATGGGCCACTCCGTCTTGATCTGCTCCTGAAGTTGGGGCAAGACACCAGCGCAGCACGGGTCACAAGCGGCGACGCTGCAACCAGGCAGCCCAGACTTGTATTTCCGCCGGATCCGCCGAGACATTTCGATCTGGGTTTGAGAAGAGCCGCAGGGCCAAGGCCACCAGCAGCGTCGCCGCCAAGGCACAGGTCTCTGGCAAGCTCCGGCAGAGGATCCGCAAGGATTGCCTCGGCTCTATCAGGGTCTCGTTCCCTAACTTCTTTCACCCTTGGATCCTAACCCTGACTGAACAGTAAGCTGCTTCTTCGCTGCGATTTCAGATCGACAGTGGTCAAGTCAAATCGCCTTTGCCTAGGCAGAGAGTCTGCATCCAAAAAAGAATCTGACAACCGTTGGGGCAGAGTTGCATCTCTGAGCCGAGCACAACTCAGTCATCACAAAGGCGGTACACGCAACTCCCACTCCGAGAGTGTGGAGGTTGTTGAGGCTTCCCATGGCAAGGGTCTCCATGGGGCCTGGACAGCAGTGCTCTCACACCCCGAGCATGACCAGCGTCGAAACCGCCCCTGCCTGGCTGCAATTGAACTGGGACTCTCTTGGAACAAAGGAGGTGATCACCCCACACTACATGTCACTGCATCAAGGCTCTGTGGCTGCAGGCAGCAAGCCAAGGAAGATACAAGCACCGTGTTGGATCAGAGAAATCCTCTGATGCGAACCACACTTTCACCACGCAGGCAAACTGTCTTGCAGATGACTAAACATTCCAGCATCCAGCACTCTCGAATCTGAAACGCCATCAACAGTAGCGATGTTAGAGCCTCCCTGTGCCCTCACCCCAACCTCACTTGCCAGACCGTGTAAAAACAGTGTAACTTCTCCATTCTTAGAAATCATAGAACTGCATGCTATAGGCTACGACGGAGGCTCAGCAAATGCTATCGACATCACGGTATTGGCATCGGGAGCTTGTTCAAATAAGCGGGATGAGACGCAAAAGGCAGGTGATGCTGCGAATGCTGATGCGCGCTAGTCTGCAGCTAATCATGGAAAGGCTGAGACAAGTAAAGCTTCGTCGGTGTAATCGCCGCATCAGTTGTGCTTCAGGGCCTCTCAGTTCTGAGCTGTACACAGGAGCTGAGCTGGCTCTGAGGTTTCCTCCAGAAACCCTCGCAAGAACTAGGGACTAAGTGATGATTCGACGGTGTTTTGGACTATATTGTATGCTCTCTCTGTGGCCGGGAGGGTTAAGAAATCCAACCTGCAATGTGATGTATCGCAAGCTGTGGCCTCCGTAGGCCATCATCCGCTTCGCGGATATTGCTTGGGATTCGTTCCGAACCACTCGGAAGCGAATGCGCAGCTCCTGAAGCTCCAGACAGGTCGCATCAAGAAAGACAGTCAGCTTCCAAGCGGAAGCATCTCTGCTCGGCTTCGCCTCTTCGCCTCTGGACTCTAGCCCGTGACGGACATGTAGGCGGCAGTGACGTGGCAGCTCAGCCTTGAGGAATCTCAGCTCTGATGGCACAAATGCACAAGGCATCTTTCCTTCCCTCTGTGTCCAGCTGAAGCACTCGTCGTCACGATTTCGTGTCGCCTGCATTGGCTTTGCCCTGATGGGCCCGCCAAAGCCTTCGAGTGACGAATCCTCGCAATGCAGAATCAAAGGAGACCCTGCGACGCATCGACTCGCCCTCGTGCAAACCAACTCTCCGCACTGCTTCCAACTAGTTTCATGCGACGGTGGGGTTTACATCAGTACTCCTACACAGTGCAGGTAAAAGGAATATCTCTCTGTCAGAAAAGACAACAAGGCCACTGCTAAATGGCACGACAGCGTAACACAGTAAACCAAGCGAGCTTTTTGCTCTGATTCATTTTCCGTGCTTCCAGCCTCAAGCTCATGAGCAAACGGTTTGATGGTCTGGTGTGTGGCTGGCTACCTGGCTTGCTTGCTGGTTGGATGGAGCGATTGCTTGTTGGACGGAGTGATTGATTGGTTGAGTGAGTGAGTGATTGAGTGATTGGGTGACTAGGTGTTGCACCCGCTGTATTCTTGCGTGATTGAGTCATTGAGTGATTGATTGGTTGGCTGATTGACTGCACACATCTTTCGATTTTGGTTTGACATTTGAAGGCTGGCCTCCCCGCTGTTTTCCGCGGTTCCTTCTGGACATGCAAGTGAAAGGCCCTTCTCGCACAACCGCAAATATCCAGCTGCGAGAGCACACATGGAAGAGGTGCGAGCTGCCTCCCTCAGAACTGGCAAGTTGAAAGCGGCACACCGATGAGACGCCAAACTGGGTCTGGAAGACAGGAAAGCCAGGGAAGGCCAGCCTGCTGAAAGCAAGTTACCGGCAACCTGGCAGCATCTCAGTGTCCTTCGCTGCATCTTTCTCACATTTGGGCGCTGCCTTCGAATCTTTTCCGGCATTTAGACTGTTCTGCTCGGCAAGGTTGGCCGTGTTCACCCTTTCGGTGTCAAAGCGCAACCGCTGGCCGCTCCTGGCGGAGCTTCGTGGGTTCTCTAGTCATACTGCACAATCATAGCTGCACGTGTCGTCGAAGTCCTGCCGGCATCCTTGAAACTCTTGTCAACTTTCTTCAGAGACGATTTCCGCTGGTCTGTTCGTGCCTTCCAGCTGCTCAGGGAAGCATTCCGGAGCGCGTCTGAGAAAGCATCCTGCCTCTTGATTCTCATCTTTCCTGAACAAGCCAGTGAGGGCCTGTAACGGCTTCATCCACGCCATAGCACGCCATCAAGGGCCGACGTGACAGAACTACTGGCTGGACTGCAATGTTGCACGGCACAGAGCCCAGGCGATCCACATGACGTGCGCGCTCCATGTGCCACACGGTCAATCCGTTGCTTCCGAACTTTTTCCGCTCACCGCACCACTTAGGCACTTCGCGCCGCGGCCTGCACGCCTGCAAGATCTCACTGCCGGGTCGGAAGGAAAAGCAAAGAAGGAGATCTCGGCTGCGCACCGTTTGGAGCGTGGCCATTCGTAGCAGCTTTGCCATTTTTAGCCTTGTCTTCATCAAAACAGCCCTCGCACACGCAAGTGAAAGTGAGGACCTCTGCAGCGTGCACTTTGCTCGACCTTGGGACAGGCAAACCAGCAAGGTCTGAGACACTGGGATTGGCTTGAAAGGGCTCCGGCCCTGTTTCCGTGCCAATCTTCGTGACAGGGAGGCTCGGACCTCGGAACGTCGAAGCTGGCACTCAGAACTCCACCGGCTCGGGGAAGGTGCTGGGATCCTCACCGAGGTCCATGGCATCTCCGAAGGCTACCCGCAGCTCGACCCACGGGAAGAGCCTTGCAATGCTCCACAGGCTCGTCACCCACACGGCTCACTGCCGCGAGCTATCTCGGCGCTTAACCGCAAGAACTCCTTGGCAGTGAAGATGCTGGCAGTTCCAGGAGGGGATGAGCTGTAAAGCAGCACCACCTGAGTGGGGACAAAAAAACCCTTCAATGCTGAGCCTTTTGCGTCCTCTCGGGCCACCACTCCGGACACCTCGCAGCCTCCCTGTCCTGAAAGCGAGGCGAAGCATTCCGCTTTTAGCGACGACAAAAGAGATCCTGTGGTGGAATAGACAGAGCGGAGCGCAGCGACGCGCGGCTCTCTCGCCTGGAGTCCGTCGAAGCAAGCGCTCCGCCAAGGCCAACCTCAGGGCGGTGCCCAGCCCACAGCCCCGACTTGGTGGGGGTAGTTTCATTCGACGCATTCAGCTGGTGCCAGACGGCACGGAGACAAGCAGCTCCGGCCAGCAACGCTGCGATCGGGGATGCAATCAATGAGTTGAGCTCTGGTGGTGAGACTTCATCTTGTACCACCGAACAACTGCTTGATGGGTATCAACAGCGTAGCGAGATCGGCCAGGCTATCGGTGCATCCGGCATCCACCTCCATGGTGAACTTCGGAAAGATGGAGAGCTATACTTCTGACACGAATTCTGTTTGCATGCTACACGACGATCAGGCGGAGAGCCCATTCGGAACGAGAGGGCAAAATGCAAACCACCTCCATCATCGATTGGCATGTAGTATCATGTGGTTCCTTGCAGCCTTCTTTAGGATTGGCCGCCCCGTAGTCTCCTACCAGGGCCACCCCAACGTTGCCCCGTGAGTGGGTGCTGGCCTCACTTCAGGTAGCCGACCCGATTTGTAACTCTAGCTGCCTGCAGATGTTCATGCTGTGGTTTGTGCCAGGACCTCCTAGATTCCTAGATGCGGAAACGGCATTCTGCATTTCTTTGTGCAGACTGCCTCGCACTGCTTTGCCATTGGCCTGCATTGGTGTTGTGTGCTGCGGTGTTAGCTAGATTCTAGATGCGATCGGTTTTGCGCCTTGCGCAACTTGCACGTACGCGTCGCTTCAAGGCCATGCGATCGAAAATCGCCTCCCTGGGCCTGTTTTAGAGGAACGGCTTCACTTGTTGGTGATGCGGTCATCACATGGGGCTACCGAAGCCCACAGCCCGTCGGATCGACAGGCTTCGAGCCCCCCAGGACTGGCTCTCCCTCCTGCCGGTTCTGAGCTTCGAGCAAGGCGGCCCGCTCCGCGTGAACGGCGGCACCCTTTTCCTGCTTTGTCGTCGCACTGTGACTTGGTTTGCAGAAGCATTATGCCGAGTTCCCAGCCAGGGGTTGCAAAGCATCCGTGTCAGCGGGCTCGAGGCGGCGCCCTGGCCGAGAATCCGAGCTCGGAACGAGCGACAAGCCGCGGAGCTCAGGCCCAGACGATGCACTTCACCGTTGGAGCATAGGCTGCCCGTCTGAGAAGGCGATAACCAACACAAAGCAGAGCCCGAACAAGAAGTTGGCAACCCCAACCCCCCAACCCCGCCTGATCCGTCAAGTCATAAGCCAACCAGGCTAGGCTGCCCGGACCTTGCTGGTTTTGGTTACATACGAGTGCAAGTGCAAAGGCCAAAGATCGCTTAAGCTCGGCTCCTTGTGCGGAGCCTGACCACTGAGACCATTTGTCCAGCATGGCCTGTCAGGCTGGCTCTGACGCTGGACTGATGAGGCTCTACCTGGCCTGCCGACGTAGCTGCCGCGCTGCCTCCGCAGACCTCACGGTACTGTCAGTGTCACGTCACACACACACACACATAAATACATATATATATATATATACACACACACGCACATACACGCTCGTGACAAGGAGGCCCAGGCCAGCCGTCAGCGTCGCCTTAATGACACTGCTTTCCCTCCGCGCGCTCGCACGAGCGGCAAGTCGAAGTTGAGGCGGGAGCTGACGGTAATGCCAAGATGCCTGAAATCGCACAGATGCCCGCTCCGTCTACGCAGAGCAGCGCATGCGGCGCCTGAAAGCATCAGCCGTGAAGGCGCCAAGGTCGGGAGTCTCCCGCAGCTTCACCATCGCTGCTGGGCTCGGAGAGTCCAAAGCCTCCAGAATCGGCCGCACCTTCAAAAGCACCAGACGAAGAGAAAGAGAGAGAAATAGAGCGAGAGAGAGCGAGAGCGAGCGAGAGCGAGAAGAAAGAATGTGGACGAAACTGACAGCTGTCCCAACAGCTGCCGCCCCGGCACCCACTGGCTCTTCACCAGGCCATCGACTTCTGGTTTCTGTTGGCTCCCTCTCCGAAGCAAACTTCCCAGACGCAGCACCGCGGAGCTGCACCTCTCATGGCGTGCCACATGGGCGATGCGAAGCATGATGGAGCAGGTGGGTGGCCTTCGGAATGCTGGGCATGTAGCCGCACTCTGAGTCGCAGGAAGGAGCCAGGAGTCTGCATGGCGCTCCAGGGCTTCCCACACGTCCTCCCCGAACCGGTCGCACAGCCAGGACACGCCCTGACGAGAGTTTCACCAAGGCGGAGCGACCACATTAGCCGCCATGGCACTTCCAAGCCTCCTGTCCTTCGCCTTCGTGAGACTCCAGCGGCGTGTCGAGAACGAAACCTCATGGGCTCACATCGGCTCACATCGGCTCACGGCATGACTACACCTTGGGCCGCCCGCCGTTCTTATCGTGCATCTCCACCAGCAACGTAAACACTCGAAGCAATGACTCGTCACAGGCCTGTGCAAGAACACGTCCTTGCAACAGTCAGAGTTGCAGTTGCGATGATGGCCTCGCATAAGTGCAAGGCTGCCAAGAAGTCAGCCATGCTGATCTCCTTCTGCAGCTTCCTGTTGTCCTTACAATAGCATTGCAGCTTGTACTTGATCGAACTCCGCTTAAAGCGGACAGGAAGGGACACAACACCCGCCGCAGTAGCAATAAGCAGTGCACTGAGAAAGTGGCTTGCATGTCGTCTAGCCACTTCAGGCCCTCTTTCTCCTGCGAAGCCAAGCTGTGCAAAGAAAGCACGGTGGGCGTGCCGTCACAGGTCCTTGCCCGGGCAACAAGCACAAAGCTGCAGAGCTCTGCCATAGCTCGCAGCGCGAGCTTTTAGAACTGCTGGGTCTTCCTCTTCCTGGGCTTCCCCCTGCGCCTGGAGACAGTGACGATGACTGGGGAGCTCAACCCAATGCAACCCAATGCCAATCCTCTTCCCCTTCTGGCTTGGGAGGTCGCGCAGCTTTCGCAGCCATCACAGCCTGCAGAATGGGACGAGATAACTTGAACTTGGTGTCTTCAATGCCTGGAAAGAACAAGACAATCAGGAGCCAACATTTACAGTGAATACAAACTTTCTGCTGACCCTTTTTTGTCTCTGGCGGATTCTGGCAATTCGCTGCTTCGCGCCTTGGCTCCGGACATACACGAGCATCAATACAGTTGGCGGCATCACAATCACAACTCGACGAGTCGACAAATGCCATAAGCGGAAGCGGAGCCACTCGCTTGCGTTGTCGGAGTGCAACGTGCTCTGATGGTGAAGGCCTAGGCCTAGGTCGTAGCTGTTTAGAAGGCCATTTCTAATATTTCTATCCAAGTCTCCCAGCAAGGCGCCGGCTCGTGGGAAGTTGAAGGACAACGAGACGAACCTCTCCGAGAGTCCTCCAAGTTGCCAGGCTCAAGTTGGGGCTTGCGTGGGCCTGCAGTTTCCCCAGCCTGGCAGGGGCACCACTGCTTCTGCTCCAACTCTCGTGCTGCCAGTGCCTCCGGCTCCAAGAATTCGCTGTTACACCGAAACTCTGAAAGACGGGCGCCACAGCACCTTCATATCGGCCCTCTGCCGGCAAGGAAGCCGGCGCCTCTTCACGATGCAATGACACTTGACACGAAACCAAAACGAGCTCCGTGGCTTTTTGCCAAGGTCTCGGCCACTCGTGCTCTAGCGCTCGCAGGGCGCGCTCCTCTAGGCTCCCCAGAGCCGGGAGCCTCAAAGTAAGAAACGGCTCTTTCTGAGGTGCTTCGACTTCGAAGGCGCCCACATGGCCTCGCAACTGCCCGGGCTCCCTCCAAACCCTCCAGGAAGAAGAGCCTCGAAGGCACTTGGCACTAACTCCGCTGAGGCCAGGCTCACACGTTGCTTCCCGTCCCTCGTCCATGCTGCCCAGGATCTGTCGCGCTTCCTTCCAGCTGCGCCGCTCTCTGCTGCACTCATGCGTGTGGCAACGGGTCCTCTTCGACAGGGTCGATGCAGTGGCACGGGCTGCCAGATTCTCCGCGACAGGCTCTGCAGCAAAAGCCCGTGAGCAGCTTGCTGCCTGCGCCACGCTGTGCCACATCTCGGAGGCGCACGGCCCGACGACGCAATGAGATCTACAAAGGAGCCTATCGGAGCCAAGGCCCACGGCCCGCAGGGGATCGTGGTACTTTTTGAGCTTTTCTTCCGCATGAAAACCACACCACAGTCCTTGCTTTGCTCCAGCATCAGGAATTCTGCAATTGGCACGAACATCCGTCATCCGTAGGTGGAGCGGCAGGCTGGCATCGCATGCCTCAGCCTCGAGGTTTGGTCCGGTGTGGATTCTGATTCTGGATGTGGCCTGCTTGGTGGTGAGGCTACTGCGACGTTGCCTGTAGCATTGTGACTGTTGTTGACGTCCGACATGTGCGTCCGAGCATCTGCCACATGAGATCCAGCCTTCCAACAGGGCTTCTTGCTAGAGAAGGTAAGAAAGTCTCCTTCCGACAAGGCTTGAAAGTGGCAGATGCTCCAAGGCTGCATCGTCCTGTCCTGTGGTTGGGTCCCTCTTCTGATCGATGTCTGGATTCGGCAAGCGGATGTACTGAGAGAAGCCTTGCGCGGGTGCAGAAATTTAGTGGAAGCCCACCGAAGCCATCGGCAGTGTCATCTCCTTGCTCTTACTTGTCGGATTACGTCCGATCAGCCAATTTACATGACCTTCCCGTTTGTTCTTCGCAGGCGTGTGGTCTTTCTGCATTCAGTGTTGGGGGACAACCTGCACACGAGAAGACTTGCTGGGACAGGTTCTGCACAGCACCAGCTGGTGCCTCAAAGCATGCTCTCGAGTTCAACTGTGTACAATAGTTTCTTAGGCTGTAAAAGCATGTTCAGAAGACATCGGATGGCCTCGTGCAAAGGCAACGAACGCGGCAGCAAACGCGTAAGTGGCACGCGATGCTCTCTGGAGGACGGCAAGCATTGACTGCTGATTCCGAGTAATGGACCAATGCAAGCCACCTTCGGACAGCCGTGCAAGCGCGAAGTCGCCCTGCTGCTTGTGTCCATTCTCGCCGATGCTGGCAGAGATGCCACCCTTCCTGCTCCCATAGACCTTGGTTGCACATGCTTCCCGATTCGCAAGTTGGCGTGAGGTCACAAAACCCGAGCCCAGGGACACCAGGTCTTTGGGCTTTCGTGCAGTACATTCGTCGGAATCTCACGACAACACCATCACGATGCCAGTAGCGTAGAGAACGCTCCAAATCATCCTGCAAGAACTTACGATCGGATGCTTCGCTCTCCTCTGCTGCTGCTGCTGCATTCTATGTCCTTCACCTGGCCGAAACGGGTGTAGAGATCCGGATCGTGCAGGACTCGAAAGCCGAACAAGGCCCCGTACACCAGACCCAGAGCAGTGCTAATCTCGGGGGCCTCCTGGCATTGTAACTGCTCTGGCAAAGGAGGGTTGGACGGTGCTGAGGGTCCTTGAGGAATTGCTTGTTGCTGGTCGGAGAGATGCCTGGATTTCGCGTAACGTGACACCACGTGGCACAGCATGGCAGAGCACTTCATGAGGGCACCCTTTGGCGCTGCGCTGCACTGAGCACTGCTTGCATCTGCTTGCGCCCTGGCCCGGGCCCCGGGCCCCAGAGGTGAGCTCGGAAGCGCTGCATCGCCTCGGCGGCCGCCTGAATCGTCGCAACGAGGTCCCCCGGGAACTCCTGGAAAATCCGACCCGTTCCGCCCCCATGCGATTCTCTTCTCAGTGCTCCTTCTTCCTCCGTGAAAATTCCGGGGGCTCCTCGCCGGCCTCGTGGCGGACGAAGCGAAGCAAGTTGTCGTCCATCACCACCACCTAGGGCTGAGAAGACGGGCGGGGGGGGGGGGGGGGGGGGGCCGAATCCGGGCCCCCCACATGCTGGCCCGGCAAAAAGCACTCCTCGATGAAGCGGACCTGCAGGTCGGCGCCTGGGCGAGCCAAGCTCTTCGAGTGACTCGTTGTGAGTCGAGTCCTGGTCTCGTCTGAAAACATACCCGGCCGAGGTCCTTGCCCTTGATGCCCACGATGATCCTCCCACCGGCACATGTCATTCTGAATGCAGGGGGCAAACACGGGAAGGTGTCCTGTCATGTAGCGGTCCCAAGACTTCCTCATAGCACCCCGAGAGGAAGTCCGGGTCTTCATGTGAAACGAACACCTGCAAGGCGGTGAGCTGCAGCACGTGTGGCACCAAAGCCCAAAGCCGGCAACTGAGAGCACGGCGTGAATTCGCTCCCGGTATTCGAGCAACCCGGAACTTCGCAAAACATTCATGGTTTGCGACATCAGGCTCTTTGGCCTGAAAAGCATGACGATGGTAATGGCGATCGAAGAACAAGGCTTGCACAAGGCTACGGTGCTCCTGGCGTAGCTGCGCACGCAGATCACCCAGGGCTCCCAAGAGACCCTGGCCTGTGCCCGCAAAAGCAGCTCCTGTGTGCGACACGGTGCAGCTTTCATCCCCCCCTTTCGGCCCCATTTCCTTCACGAAGGGATGGCGGAAGGTGGAATCAGGTCCTGCGACAAAGGTGGCTCAGTCAAGGAGGCCTCCTGTTCGGTCCCGGAGGCCTTCACCGTACAGCTCGCTGGAGGCAGGTGCCCTCTGCAACAGCTGTCGGAGTCCCGACAAAGGCTCAGAGACTTGCCTGGCAGGTTCCAGGGTTCAGAAACCCCTCACCCTGCCCTACGCTACTTGATGTCATCATCTTGGCAGCCTGGACCGGCTTTGGAGCGTCTCGCAAACGGCGCACTCCATGCTGACACGCTCGGTGCGAACTAGCACACGTTGAGCCGCGGTGGCCAAGAAAAGCAGCTGGTGTTGCGGCCGCATCACCTGTCAGAGTCTGTCTTGAGACAGGGTGGAGGCACCCTTCAGGTCGTGCCTGCCAGTCCCGTTGAACCTTGCACTGTGAAAGATCTCTGAAAACCGGATGCGAAGAGCACGGGAGCTTTCGTTCCGCTGAGCTGCTGCTGTGCGCACACGCTCACGGAGCTTTGCCGGCGAGCGCTGCAGCAGCCGAGCCATGGCCGCAGTAGCATCGGACCTCAGGTGCCCTCCCCTGACGCATGGCGCAGCTCCATGAAGATTCTGACGGGTCGCAGGAACTCCTCAATGCCTTCTTGGCAGTTGCGGAGCTCACGTGCATATGGGGTTGCTGCCCCTCGCTGACGTCTGAGAACCTGCAGGCCGCAGCCGCAGCAGGCCGCAGGCAAAAACTGCCCTCGGCGAGGCAACCGAACCTTCCACTCCTTCAGTATGGCTGGCAGCTCCTTTGTCGCCGAACAAATCCCCCTGGCCAGAGGGATGGATGGTACGGCATGCGATAGTCAAGCAAGTGCGTGCCTTCCACGTTCGCATGTGAGGTCCTGCTGCTCTGCGAGGCGGCCAAGAGGGAAGCAGTTCTCCCTCTGCGTGACGCGCCGGCGCAGACGGGCAAGGGCCTCGGGGGGGGAGACTGCGCCTCCAGGCCCTAGCCCATCATCCCATCAGAACGTGAAGTGCGTTCTGAGATTGGAGCGATCTTCCGGTCCGTGACCATGAGCCCACGTTTCCACAGAAGATTCCGTGCGAACTCACCAGGATGTGGAGGAGGCAATGGAGTGGCTTCGAGAGGCAGAGCAAGAGAGCACCTTCGGAGGTGTGGGAAAGAGACAGGCTGACTCTGCGCCACCCATCCACCCTGTTGACCCTGCCTCTGAGCTCCCTCTCGGGCGCCGCGGGATGGCTCTCCACGGCTCTTGGCCATGGCAACGACCCTCGACCCTAAGGCGGCACCATACCAGCGTGTGTCTCTCTTTGCATCTGAACGGAATCTTGAAAGTTCTTAGGCCCTGTTGGGCCGTGGCTCAAGCTTGGCTTCGGATCTCACAGCAGGTGGGGCTGAGAAGGCTGAGAACCACGAGGTGCTGTTGCAGCGCTTCTAGCATCACACCTCCGCTCAACTTCGGAAGAGCGTTTCTGACATCCCCGCATAGATGATATGGCGATGTGGACATGTCAAGCCTTCGCCACCATCTCTTCCGGCACGGGTGGAGGAGGCAGTCGATTCACAGGAGCCTGCACACTCGTCTTCGAATTTCTTGCGAGCTGCCTGGCGACCTGGCGACCTGGCGACCTGGCCTTGGGCTGCGGGCTCCTTAGGAGGCTCGCAGCTCCAAGCTCCTCCATCAGACGTAAAGGCATCATCTCGATGTGAAGCGACTTGACGCGACAGCCCCATCACGCTCGTCGCCGCTTTTTGCTACAAGCTTTCTGCACATACCTGGCCACTGTCATGATTCTCATCACAAGGATGGCAAAACCAGGTAGCTAGAACGTAGCGAGGGTGTTGGCCCCAGTGGCTCACCTTGGACGAGACTGGCTAGCTGTAGCCATGCCCGCACAACTGTCCGCCATTGAATCTGGCATCAAGCGTTTGAAACACAAGCAGCCGAATGAGGGTAGGTGTCGTCAATGACCATGGATTTGCCCTCAATCCACAGGCTCTGTGCCGGTCCGACGCTGATGCCTGATCACAGACCCCGCTGCTGTGACACGTGAACCAGTCACACCAGAGTGCATTCCTGCTACTGCTACTTCTGCTTATTCTGCTACTTACTGCTGCTGCTGCTGCTGCTACTGCTACTGCTGCTGCTACTGCTACTGCTACTGCTACTGCTACTGCTGCTGCTACTGCTACTGCTGCTGCTACTGCTACTGCTACTGCTACTGCTACTGCTACTGCTACTGCTACTGCTACTGCTACTGCTACTGCTGCTACTACTGCTACTACTACTACTACTACTACTACTACTACTCCTCCTACTACTGCTACTACTTACTGCTAATCCCCACTGCCGCTGCCACTACTACTGCCACCCCTCGAAAAAATGTGAACACGCCCGGCGAGCTTGCAAGTGGGTTCACGCGAATTGCCACGTTTTGGTTGCGCCACGGGCTCATGGGCTCCTACTAGTATACCTTCCATATGGACTTCATGCTGAGCAAGGGTGTGCTGTTGATTGGCAAATAGCACGTGGACATGAAAGCCCCGGCAAAGTGTACTGTCATTGGGTACAAGCTATCCAAATGCTCCGGCCGTGACTCAGTGCGAGACGCTGTGCGCTACCAACAAAACTCAACTCCATTACTTTACCTTTAACAAGCTCTACAGCAGATAAACTCAAATCCAGCTAGGGCAGGAAAGCCGAGTTCCTAATCCAAAAACTCCTTAATTTCTCGAGTGCTCAACGACGATACGCGTGATAGTTTTGCACGGCAGTGAGAACCCCACCAGAGAGTACAGGGATGTTGGATGGATAGGTGGATGCGACAGTTGGCGACAAAGGGGAACGGACTGTCAGACGACAACTATGCTTTCTGGCACGCAGACCTCGATTCCGGACATGTCAGCACCTGGCCTGACCGGAGAGGCTCCGGAGCGATGACTGCAAGGTGAGCCGTCAGGCGGGGCGCGTTTCCGAAGTGCGGTTTCCTTACGCACCCGGAGATGGCAGGACTGCAGGCATTTGCAATGCAGTGACCATGCTGTCCACCCGAAACTCCAAGGTTGACGAGCTTCAAGTGTGCACCTGCGGAGCATGGGATTTCTTGTCGGTGTCTTTGAATCTGTGACTATGAGCAGCAACGGGCCTGGGAACAGCTTGTAGTAGTTGGTGTTGACCTTAGACCGGCTCAGAGTTTGACAGGGCACGTCGTTCACGCTGCAGTCGAGATGCATAAGGGCAGTTCACCAACCTCACATTCACAAGTTGCTGGCCGCAGCTTCCAGAAGCATGGCAAACAGTCGCTCACGCGCTCTCAGTCGTGTTCCGTGTGTTGCAACCAGAGTACTCTTTGCGAGTTTTTAAAAGCGCGCAAGTCTTTGGCGCGAAGCTGCAGAAGGCGTCATTCCAGTTGCCATATCCTCAAAATGTCCACACACGCCCCTTCGTGGAGCAGAGCCTCTGCGCATCTAAGGCCAGGTCGAACGATTCGAATCGCATCCCAACCACCAGGTGTAGAGAGCGACTCGACGGATACATCTGCCCGTCGTATCGCTTCATAACCTTGAGCTTCATGATGCCGGTGCAGGCTTGAAAATATTCAAATCTCAACTCACTTGTAGCTCCATACCAAGAAGCCATCTTCAACATCCACAGCATTTATGATGCCTTCAAGCTCGGAACGAAAAGTTCCATAATGTTCCTCCTCGGTTCATGCTCCAGTCTCACTGGCAGGGCACACGCAAACGATCTCAGCCAGGGCTCAAGAAACACGGCCAGGGGTACTTTGCTGGCGTTCCAGATTGGCTTAGCTGGTATGTCCTCGGATCACGTTTGCTGCTAAGCTGTTGCAATGATTAGGATTAGGAGACCCTGCAACCTGCGAATGCAGCAAGGCCTCTGGGTATCGAAGCCTGCACAAAGTGCAACAAAATCTTCTGCCACCGCCCCAAGCCCAAAAAAAACCACGGCTGGTTCGTGCCAAGGGGCTGGTTGAAGTTCATGTCCCAGGGAGAGGTCCAGGATTTTCCGGCGTCTGCGAATCGCGGCACCGTCTTCAGATACCTGAGATGACAGATGGCCTCTCTGTCCAAGTAGCGGCCTGTTTCAAATCAGAGCCGAGCGGTTTGTTTTTTCAAACTGAGACTGCGTGCCCCAACAGCATTGAGAGCAGCAAGGCAGAACCAAACATACTCTCATCCACCCATGCATGCATCAATTCATCCACCCACAATTCATCCATTCACCCATCCGCCTTGCATCCATCCATTGATCCATCCGCCTGGTTGTAGCGCCTGCCGCAAACTAGTGTAAGCTGGACAAGATTTCACTCAGCCAGTAACTTTCGTGTACTCAGCATCACTCATCACTATCGCCATCATGTTATTTTTCTTATTCATCATCTTCATCATCTTCATTACCGTCATCATCATCGACATATCTTTGGGCACTGACTTGTGCAAAGATGCAAACTCGCGGGAATTACCAGCGTTTTTGGTGCATGCTCGCACATGGTATTGGTATCAATGCTTGTAACAGGACGTCTATCCCAGAAGGCATGCACGCCTGTCCCACCCCAATCCCATGAAAGCGTTCGAAACAGCTCAACATTGTAGAAAATCCACCTCAGTAACACGGCACCCTGCGCGCCTGCCACCTCTACACAGCCTTCAGAAGCCCCTCTACAAAGCACTTCTATCCAGCCTTCTTTTTCGTCCATAACCCTTTTACGAAGGTTCTCTTCTACAAGAAGCAAGCCTTCTGTCTTTAAGTCTCCTCTATAACTTCTCCAAACCCGTCTGCAAACCCTTCCAGTGCCCCTCCACAAACACTTCTATAAACGACTCTGGAAAACCCTTCTGCACGGCCAAAACGCTTTCCCCTATGACATATGATCCCTGGCTTCAGAGACACGACCAAAATGCCTTTGCACATACTGTATTGGCACAGGATTCACAAACATGATCAGAATGTACCAAACTGCTTCCCCCAAAGTGCTGGTGGGATTGTGAAAGATTTCGAGGTTCAAATCAAAGAGGCACCACAGGCACACAGGATGTGCCTCCACCGGGCGAGCTGTCATTCCGAGTCTAACATCCGGCTCATGCACCACAACTTACAATGGGCCAATGGGTCTCCTTGCCGGAGGCTGCAGATACGAATCGGGGCGGCACCAGATGCGCGATTCACGCAACCACTTCATCCATCACCCGAGAGCATGGCCACAATGCCACCTCTTGTACTGGCGTGATTCACGAGACATGACCTAGCGCGAATCGTCGTGACACCACGCGCACAGCACGATTTCGTGTGGCGTGATTCATTGATGTGACTTGTAGGATTTCACACAAGTCGAAGCTAAACCCAACGTGGCACCCTTTGGTAATCTTCTCCTGAGTCCCAGCATGTTCGATCACGCGAAATGGCGCTAGTGCCGTGACACCTCTTGGTCGGAATTGACAACCCTCTCAGTGGCATCGCACGTCCGCGTCGTCCGGTGATCCCGATTCATTGTAAATCCCAATGCATGCCTCAGGCTGGCCTGCAAACGACAACCCTCTCGGTGCTGCTGGCCTGATTTTGGCCTCGCAACGTTTTCATCCCGCTAGTCGCTAGCATTTGGAGGAAACATGTTCGTCATGTCTTTGAGTCCCGCCAGGACAAGTGGGGAAGCATTTTGGGTGTGAAATCATGCTGTGACCATTCACACCTGGTCATGTCTCTGATGCACCAGTATCTGTGCGCCGCGTGCTCCTGATGGCGAGGAGCACTTTTTGGTGCCAAATCGCGATGCGCGTGACGACTCGTGTTCGGGATCGAAATCCCCATGCTCGGTGCAAGTGAGATCCTATCTCGACGATCACCATTCAGTTTGAATATCCAGCCTGGGCTCTTGCGCGTGGCTCATCCAGCTAACAACTGCCAGGTCGATTTTCCTGTGTATCCCTCGTGTCATTTACTTCAGTTTGTGCCTTGTCTCTGACACTGTTGCTCAGCACCGCAAATCGGGGCTGGCATGTCAGCCAACTAGCGATGTCCTAAGTCATGGCGAGATGCCTTCGAAAACAACGCCACGATATCAACAACCGTCTCGGAGAACAAGGACATGCGGCAAGCGTGCTCCATTGCAAATTCCAACAAGCCGGGCACAGGTTAGCCTCGACATGACAATCACACCGCCAGCTGCATGTGGGGAAGCATTTTGGCGGTGAACGGTGTATAGAGGAGCGCTTGATGAGTGCGTGTAGGGTGGATCGATGAATAAATGGACGGATGAATGGATCGAGGGATGGATGATGGATAGATGGACGGATGGATGCATTCTTGCTACCCTGACCCGTACGTTGTGTCAATTACGAGATCATGAGAAACAGAAGCAACCTTATGGGCCAGTGTCTCGAAGACCTAACATCTCATTCAACCTTCCAAACCACCTCCATGGTATAACCATTCGCGAGGCTTTCGGGATAAGACCCAAGTGGCTCCAAGAGCTGGGTGGCACGTTCCCGGTAGATGGAGGTCAAGGTGGAGCCACTTGGCTCCGTCTCTTGCAGCCAGGCGTACAAAATGGCGGGCTGACCTGAGCATGAGCTGTCTTCGCTGAATCGGGTCTCACATTCGACCGCAAAGAGAGCTCTCAGAGGGTCAGAGACGATCAGAAAAGAAGGAAACAAGTGTCAAAGATCAACGAGGAGCACAGACTGAATCATCGTGCCTCGTCGAAGGAAACTTGGTCCAACAAGCCCAGTCTCTTACAATGTCAACGCGACCCATCTCGGAACATCAGTCAGCTGGAGTACTATCATGGGTAGCTGATTTGGAGATCTGGCGGGCAAGCCCTTGGGCAAAGATGTTTAGATGATCAAGGCGTCAATCGCCTCTCAACAGCAATAGAACCATCATCATCACCACCATCATCGTCCAGCCAATACGAATAGTCATCGTAACGGCGCAGGAGCGCAAAAGTGGGAATGTATAAGGCCTCTTGGAACACGGAGTGAGTTTGTTGGCAGAAGTTTATTTCAAACGCTGATCGCGGGGGCAAGCTCGTGTTTGAAGAATCCCCTATCCGAGTGGGAGATGCCATGATTCCAGGAGCAAACACGGTAAACAACCCGATTTGGCCAAACAAGGGTCAGCTATAGTCTTCAAGCATCGCTTGTGTGTTTCATTCGCAGTCGGAGGCTGCAGCACACCTTGTAGACTGGCTCAGTTTCCTGAAGCCATTCATGTTGCAAACAGACATGATGTGTCGTCCATCTCGTTGACCACACAGCGCTGGTTTCATCTCTTGTCTGGCGAGTAGCTTCCGTCTCGCTCGTTCTCTGATTGCACGAAGACAAGCTGTGCACCCGGCCGAAGCGAATGTCGCACCCGAGCTGCAACCAGTGTTCCGTCGGTAAGTCACGGGAGCCTAGTTCATTTCGCTGTTGCACAGCAAACACGTACCTGAAAGTCATACAAGCTCGAATGGAAGCTGAGGGCAAGTGACACCCCGCATAGTTGATACTGAGTTCGAAGAGCCTCAGATTGCAGACGATTCAGGGTATGCTAAGGCTCTGAGGCACACCGGGGGAGTACCAAGCCAAGAAGCTGAGCGGACAGAACAATGTTCTCGCGCATGATGTCGCCTGTCCTGACACTGTGACACAGAAGAAGCTTGCGTAGGTCGCAAAATGTCGCGCGATCGAGCATGGCCCGGCCTGGTGAACCACGCATAGAGGTACAGCACTTGCGCAGCGCCCAGAGCCAGAGACTGCTCTTGAAAAGCAAACTTAGCAGGGACGTCGGCGCGCCGCAACACAAACGCACGTGGCCCCATGTATCTATGATGCCCCCTCGCGAAAACCGTTGCTTTTAAGCGGCTCTCGCCATGGCGAGGGCATCTGCCAAATCCTTTGAGCCCAAGGACCAGCGGTTCCTCAGTGCAGCGCAGCGCAGCCTTGCAGCCTGTGGGGAGTCTCTCAGTCTCAGCTAGGGCAGCTGGGGGTCTCGTTGTTGTAATACCTGATGCACGGTGTTCAACGCTAGCCGCTAGCCGGATCCACTATGCTCATGGCTCCAGCCTTGTCTCGAAGTACCTCACAGACTTCGTCTGCCGAGTCACTTCAGCTCGCTTCAGGGGCACGTCATGGCAGCTTCCTGGTTTCCAAGATCATCTTGCCTGCAATCAAAAAGATCTGAGCAGTGTCCTCCTTTGATGCGTGCCTTTGACGCGTGTTCAGAGAAATGCTCGGCGGAGCTCGAGAGGCCGCTGCAACAAAAAGAGACGTGTTCATCGTTTCTGCAAGCTCTGTTTCAGCTCTGGGGCAGGCACGAGTACGCGAAGGGCACTTGCGGCACCGCGTCCTGCGAGAGGGGCTGCGCTGCAAGAGCAAGGCAGTGCACAGCTCTCCTCCGATGCTCCTGCGCAAGACCAGGCCTCAAACTGGGCACAGTCTTGCCTTTCTCGCTCGGGCGCTCTCTGAGTGCGAAGCGCCAGCACCAGTGATGCTACGAGGGTGGACAGCATGGAAATGGCACGTCTGGAAGCTTGTGATCGGAAGTCACATTGAGCTTCTGAGAGGTGCTTGAACTTAGTGCTGGTGTGGCAAACGGCCGCCGCGCTTGAACCAGAAGCAGAGCTCGGGGAAGCCAGGAAGCCATGAAGCCAACACGTCGGAGCAGCAGACATTGCAGGCAAGTCGGCTCCTTCAAGAGCCTCTCTCCGTTAATTGCCATTGAGGGAGTCGTGGCCGCCGTGGCCGTGGCCACGGCAGGTGTCTTCTGCTTGGGCTCCCGCTGGGCCTGGGCTCGGGCCTGAGCCGCCAGAGCCGTGACCGCCGCAGGAGCCGGCCCTGGCCAATGCGCCGATCACGATGTCTCGAAGTGATTCGATCCTCTACGCTTCGCATCGCTTCGCATCGCTTCGCATCGCTTCGCTCGCTTGCGCGCGATACTGCCATGGCCTCTAATGCAGGCATCGGCGCCTGAGCGGCGCCAAAAACTTCCAACGCTTGTCGCTTGTCGCCGAACTTCCTTGACATGCCCTGCCCCTGCCTGGTTCAGAGCAACCTGCAACATCAGGGCCTTCTGCCTCGAGCATTTAGAGGATGTGCACGCCGTGTTACAGTAAAAATGCGCAACAAGCTGCAGCTTTGGCCACCAGCCACCACTAGCCGACCAGCCCTTGCAAATCGATCGCCCACCTTAGCTTTGGCCTCGTTGGGCTTGCGGCTGTACCTCTTGTGTTGCTGCCAATGCACTCACAAAGATCCTGATGACGCTCAGGGCACCAGCTTTGGGCGCCATTCGACCAGCCTGATCCGTTCACAGGCTGCCAGAGCTTGAAGGAAGCATCCCCGAACATCAGCGTGGCCTTGGGCATCTCCCCACCTCAAACACAGCTTCCGCCGTCAAGCGACTTACTCATCGGCCGGCCTCTCCCTCTCTATCTCTCTATCTCGTCCTTTCAGGAAGCTTGCGAGCGCACTTCTGTGGAGGACACCTGTTGGTTTCTTTCCTTCGCCAGGTTTAGGGTGGAGGGCTACCCCCCTACCGCGTGCAAGTGCGCCCCCGACAGTTGCGAATGCCAGGAGTGACCACGCTTGCTCACACACGACCGCATTGACAACTAAGCATAAGTAACATCAAAAACAGACACGATGACTCTTGCCCTCGTCGCGGGGACATTCGCCGGAGAGTGGTGGATTCGAAATATGAAGACTCTTGCCCGCTGTTTGAAAGATGCGAGATGAAAAGTGCTACAGGAGGAATTTTTGCGGCTGCAGCAATGCAGTCTTGGTTGCGGACTTTCCCCCGCAGTGGTTACTGGAGCATCGTCTGTCACCCGAAAACAAATGGATGTCTAACAAAAATTTCCAGGCATGAACACTACACGATAGGCTCGGCTCCAGCTGTTACGAACATGCGCAGTGCTCAAGTGGGAGTTAAACAGTGTCGCTGATTGGCTTCTTGCTTGTGCCTGGCACTGAACAAGGGGAAGAATACCAACAGTACTCAAAGGCCTTCACACATGCAAGTTCACAGTATGGGCAAAGGCATTCCAATTTGAGTGTCGGGAAAGAGAGTAGGGGTCCTAAACAGAGGCAGCCATGGAAAGCATTACAACAGAGAAGGCTAAGATGAACCCGCGATTCCACAGCGTGGGCACAACATACCAGAAAGACCCAAGCAAGGCTGCCTTGGAATACTGCCGTCAGTCAAAGAATACAGGTTGGAATTAGTCTCGGTGAAGGGCGGCTCGAGTCACATTCAGCAATGTATAACATTGGGGTGTTGAAGCTACGTTTGCATGCAGCGCGACTCGAAATCCAAAATAAGGCGGACTTTCCCCCATCTGAGTGGTCTCTCACTGTTCGTTGCGACTCAACTGTCGGCGTCAGAGCTACCGCAGAAGGCAGCGTGCATGCACCGGCGACGATGACTTGGGCACTAGCTGTGGCTGCTGTGAGAACGTCTCGGCGATGGGCTTCGAGACTCGTCAGGCGAGGTCGAGGCCTCCGATCCTGTGCCAGCATTGGTAGCCGTCGTTGTGGCCTGGGCCTCGTCGGACAGCAGGATGGGCTGTCCCCATAGAGCCATCGTCCACCGGAAAAAGAGGCTGTGCCCCGGCCAAAAGTATCACGGCTTCTTGCTCCATGACAAGCAGAAGCCTTTCCAGGGTTTGCTTCGCTTCAAGGATCTGATACGGTGTTGCATCCTCGCTCCTCGCCGGTCCATGTTACCCGGGATTGCCACCGCTCCCTTGTTGAGGTAGTCCCGAATCGTCACGATGGGGTAGGCCAGCCGGGTCACGTCGTCGGGCTCTCCAAGGAGGAGGTAGAGGAAGTTCCGGTGGTCGCGCCGCCATGACGCTCGTTCTCCAAGCCGTTGCCTTTTGGCTGGAAAAATCACTCTGGAATGTAGCCCTGGTTGACCATCCTGGATCCATCGCACGAGCTTGTCCAGAAGCTCGAGGCCCGTGGTTCTGGGTCCACCTCAGCCTCCAGTGCTTCCTGAGTATGCCCCAGCTTTGCAGCATCTCGCGGCTTTGCTTGAAGTAGTTCTCCACCCTTGCTGAGTCTCGTAGTAGTGATCGTCGCGGTGTGGTGTCGCGGTGTTGTAGAATGTGGCGAAGTAGTTGTAGGGCTGTGGGGTTTCATCCCATGGGTTTTGCAGTTTTGCATGACGAGATGACCGACTCCCCGTCCATCTGCGTCGGGTCTGGGTGCACTGCTTCCGCTGGGGGACCACCTCTGTTGCCCAATGTCAAACTCGCATGCAATCATGTGAAATCTATTGCAGAAGTGACAGGCGGGATATGCGAGGTCCGTGACGTTCTCCTGCGTCTGTAGGAAGGACTGCTGGGAAAATGAGCATTCCTTCAAGATAAATGCTGGGCACGTGCCATTCTTGTTTGCGTACACGCATCGTTCAGGTACAGAGTTCCTCCGATGACCTGGGTGAACCAGAGGAGCACCCCATCTGATTGGAAGATTCCTTTCCAGCATCACCAGCTTGTGGTCTTGTGGTAAGGGTTTGAAGGTGGTTGAGATGTCAAAGGTGGCACACGATTTCCGGTCTTGCAAGCGCCAGGCATGCCAGAAGCTTACGGCATTCGCAGCATAGTGTCGGTGGAAACCGATGTATGATGCGGGTTCACGAATTGCCTCAGGTGGTTTCAAGAGAAACCTCCCATGGGAGTACGAAGTGTTTGCATCAGCTGGAGGACGACTTCGAGGAAGAGCAAGAGACTCTGCGTGCCTAGACTGCTTTTTTGCCGTTCTACACACCGACCAATCGGAATAAAGATCGCCCGCACTTTACGATGTCATTGGCGTTGCTCAGTTCTGCAACTTAAGAGACCCAAAGCTTGGATCTGTCTTGGTAGAGCTTGCATGTCCGGCTGTATGGTGGTGGCTGTGATTTTTCAGTTGGAGCTGGCCTGCGCAAGTGGACTCGGCAGCTCTCTATCTGCAGCGTTGAGCCGGCAAGCTGTTATGCAATACTTTCAGCCGACTTCGCAATTGGACGACTCTGGCAACTTGGCTTTGGTCTGCTGGCTGGGTGGACCTATTCGCCGGGTCTCTTTACTTCCCCTTGCGTTTTCCGGCTCGGTCGGATGGTACAAACTTAAGAATCGGCCTTGCATGCGCTCTTGGCGTATGATAGCTGGTGCTCCATGACTAACACAAGTTCCGTTTCCCTTAAGAAGCCTTTGATGACCCTGGTTACGTCTTCCGGCATGAACTGGAGATTTGGCCGCGCTATGGCTGATCCTGGGCCGCAGCTTGAGAGGCCGTCACACGGATGGCCCACTGTGACCGCGATGTTTTGTGTGTGTTTGTTGGTTTGGATGTTTATTGGGACCGAGTGCTGCAGCTGCAGCCACCGAGGCCCGCTGACGCCAAAAACAAAAACACAGCCGGCCTTGTGTGCAGGCGCACAGGCATGCGTCCCCGCGGTGAGGCCTCCACGGCAAGCAAGGAACTGCTAAGCTCTCGGCCCTCCTGACTGGAGTTTCGAGTTTCTGCCGCTTCCGTGGATTCTGATGCCGACGTAGGAGGCAGTGGCGGCCTTGCCTTGGGAGTCACCTCGTCGGAGGGGAAGTCTCCCGCATTTTGTGGAGTAACATTCTAGCATGCGTATGCCGGACAATTTGCTGTGGCGCAGGGGTCGAGACTATCTCCCTCCAGGCACCGATGCATGCACCTCGAAGGCTGCAGGTGTTGCGGGGGCCCAGGGGCACTGCCGGCGGGAGAGTCGGCTTTGAATCCAAGAGAGGTCTTCGGTGTTTGCTCCACATCTCGCAATGTGCTTTGCATGCTGTTCTCGCTGTTGCTGCTCACCACTTTCCATTTTGGAGCCCTGCTTGCGGTGGATTGCTGTGAAGAAGCCTCCAAGTCATCGAAGTCGGCCGTGTCTGATTCCTTCGTGGCCCATGCGCCTCTGGAGCATTGGGAGGCTGAGCCCGCGCTTGCACCACCACTTGAAGCATCGAGGTCTGTTGGCCCTGGGGGTGGCTGATAGTATGGCTGTTCGCCTTCTCCTTCGTCGGCCTGGTCATGATCGAGGTAGTGAGTGTCGTGTCGGAGGTCCACGATTTGCCGGTTATCAACGATGGTGACGGGGTTGCTTGGGACGCCATCCGGCTGGAGTTGTACTGAGGTACTGTTGGTGAGTTTTCTGCGGAGAGGTTTGGGAGGTTGTTCTTAATGATCCGGAGGTAGCTTGAAACAACTTGCCCGCTTTGGTGCGCCGGCGTCGCCGCCGCAGTAGAGCCAGAGCTTGACGGTCGTGGGTTGCCCAGCGTGCTCGACGGTGCCTTTCCTCCTGCGAAGTCGATGGGGTTGTCCACTGGATCAGGCATGCGACGGCTCCCCGGTGCTTTGTCCTCTGCCCCCTTGTGGGATCGTTGTTCCGTTGGTAAGTGTGCTTGTTGGGCGGGAAGAAGTGCCGCGATCGTGCCCCACCGCCCTACCTGTTATAGGAATTCCCTGACTCAAATGCCCTTCCAAACTTTGTTAGCACCATAAAGGAGGCTTTGATCTTCGCTAGACAGGCATGCCAGTGACTAGTAGCTCTTCTTCAAAGTCGGACTAACAGGTTGCCAGTAGCTCTTTCTCTCTCCCTCTCTCCCTGTACACGATGTGAGCCAAGGGCACGACCACCATCCGTCTTTGTTTGACGAATGTGCCATGGCAGCCTCGCCGCGCAAAAGAGGAAAGCGGCACAGCTGTGTGCACACCAGGCAGCTCGCCTGTGAGCCCGCACCCCCATTCCATCCACCAGAGTGGTGCCATGACTCAGAGCACGCTCGCTAGCAAGGGCCAACACTAGGAACGGATGCTGAGAGCAAGCATGTGTTCAGGGAGCAACTGTTGACTGGCTCCAGGACGTCCACGTCCACTCCTGAGCCGCTCAGTGATCACCAACACCTCCAGCATCAAACACTGGTACAGAGCTTGCCGCATCGCCACGACGGCTGCCAGAGCCTCATCGAAGCTTGTGTTAGCTCTCGTTGAAGGAAAGCTTCGAAGTCAAAGCAAACTGTCGATGCAAGCAAGGCTCTACCATAGTAGGAAGACATCGACAGCTCAGCGTCACGACATGGGAATTGTCATTGTCTTCTCTATTCGTTGTTTTGACGTCGGGACTAACTGTGGGAAGGGAAGCATTGTGCGCTCGCAAGGGTGCTCTTCTTGCAGAGCCGTATCCTTCTTGACATGGTGAGGCCGCTTTGGTGCCATGTGCTCCGAGGCCTACCATGAAGGGTGGAAGCAGCTTCAGACCACGGAAAAACCTAGAAGTGACTGGTAACTGCCAGCTGGACATCTATCAGATCTGGACACGTGTTTTCAACAACTGATTATCGCAGAGCCACGAGGTGCGTGTCTTTTGCAACCCATTTCCACAGCATCACTCTCCTCAGGATCGAGGCTTCTCCTGAGCAATTGCGGACTACTTTGAGCTCTCTGCCCTACGGAATCAACAACTGCATGCGGAAGCAATCGTAACTGCCACTTGCCGCTCGACGGACAAAGACAGAGGCCACCCAGCTCCCTTCAAGTTGTGTCATGTTGTCTCCATGCTGAGAGCCACCACAACTGCCCACCGCAATAGCAGCCCCTTGCAGTTTGCATGCGCACCAGGAGTTTCGACAACCTTCGCCTGACACATGCTGTGGGTCACGCAGAGCATACCGTTGCCAGTTCATACGGCTAGCTTTCGAATGGAGCTCCGAGGCAGCAAAACACAAAACACACCCTTCGCCTCCGACCTCAAACAACCAATTGAACTGGTTCTCTTCTGCCCGGCTGCTTTAGAGGCATTTAGTTTTAGTTTTAGCTGTCTCTATATCCTGTTTAGGCGGGCTCGCATTGTCATGCCTCCAAGAGGATCCATGCTTCGGGACTTGCTCCATTGTTTCCGGTGGCTCCGGTCAGCAATCTTTGCCTGCAAGTCCTCGATATGCCAACCCAGGCTTCCCTACGGGATTTGCCTCCATCACGCGCTGGCTTTGCACCTAGAAGCCTAGGACCTAGGACAAAACATCCAAAGGCTGTCCATAGCATACGGCGAGGGACCTGGAGATTGCAGCATTCTCCAGGCCAACAGAGAGGGAGTGCCAAGAGATGCCCAGGACAGGGTGGGAGGTCCCAGGGACAAGGCCCAGGTTCCAGCCCTCACATGAGAAGACATGAGATGCTCCTTCCTGAAGCTCGTGCAACAACATCCGGGCTCCTTCTTGTTGCGGTACAATGCGCCAAGACCGCAGCCGGCAACTTTCACCACCTCTGCAAGGCACGGCGCGATATGCAAAGCATTCCAACGGCGGGCAGTGCCTTGAATCTCACACCGGGAATGTCGCCGACGGCATGCCCACGTCGCCCGAAGCCGGAGACGAGCACCTCATCGTTCTCATCGATGAAGTTGAGGCAACCATCCCTGATAAGTCATCGCGAGTGATACACGGAGATATCAAAGCACCTATGCAAGGTGAGATGTTCCTTTCTCCACGCTGAGCAAGCCTCAGTCGAATCGATGCCCGGCCGCAGGGCAGCTGGGTTGAGTTCTTACTTGGCAACGGCCCTGTGACCGATGTGCCAAGCGATGGGAGCCACAGATGAGATGAGAGAAGCAACTTTGTATCCCCGAGCCTAACTTCACACCAACTGATCCGCAGACTCTCCACGGCGTTGGGCAGCACAAAAACTGCCATGTCCGCCGAGTGAAACCTTTAAAGTACTCATCCAACGTCTGCCTCATCCCTGGAAGCTGGTCCGGCCGGGGTTGAGGGCTTTTGCACAAGATTTGCACCACGAGAAGCGTCCTGACCCATTCAGGCTTTAGTTGCTCATCTGCACATGGGGATTCTGGCCAGATGGCAGGAGCGGCTCCCTGGCCTCCATCACATTGCGAAACACTCGACAGACGGCTCCTCCCTTCGCAGTTTGCACCCTGCACTGCCCGGCACCTGCTGGCTTTGACGGTACTTGAAAGCGCCGAAGCCCAAGAGGGCCAGGACAACCTTATCAAGAGAGTGTGAGACAGTCCAGAGGCTCCCCACTCGGCTGCTTAAGATCTCAGCCACTACGATGACGATCCAGAGCCAGGTCAAGCCTTTCCAAGAAGCTCGAGCACACGACGATGAAACTCTGAGGCTTCCTCTGCGGCCTCCTCCTCCTCCCGACGGCTTCGGTGTGGGCTTGGACGGATTCCAGCTGACGCCAGAGCTTTGGTTCACGGTGGAACCAAAGTCGCTCCAAGCCTCCAACCCAGCTCAAAGCATGCTCAAACGCAAAAGAAAACGACGGAACCAAGACTTTTTTGCCTGCTCAGGCAACGTCGGCGGCTGGTAGTGCCACGTGGAGTAAATGTCATCGCTGAAGGCGGCCTCGGCCGAGAAAAGAGAGCCCAAGGCCCTTCTTCCAGCCCTGTACGTTCTTTCCCATCTCAAGCCGCCTGGTCCACCACGGCGCCCTTGAAGGACTCCACGTAGCGCTGAGCAAACTTCACCATCTCCTTGTTGTCTTGCATCCTTTCAGAAACACTTGCTAGCGGATGCGGCCTTCCTTCAAGACCCGCAGACACATGGCCTGGTGACAAGGAGGAAGCCCTTCACAGTTAACTCGGCATCAGAGCCGTCCGTGCCAGTCACGTTGCCACAGGTCCCAATGCCTCAGACATCGATGCACAACAAAGGGGAAAGGCCGCTTCCGTTTGGGCACGGGACCATAGAGGCAGCAGAGAGAAAGTGGATCTTCCGATGCGCACTTCGTCTGCACCGGCTTCGCCTCCCCATTCCCCTTCTCCTCGGGGCCAGGGATCCGGCGAGGAAGCGGAAGCGGAAGCGGAGCTCTTGCAGCGGCCTCGCCTTCAGCACGTCCCAAGGGCACATCGGCCTGAGAAGGCGCGCTTATGCGCTTGCATTTGAGGGGAAAGCTTCGCGCACCACGCCGAGACCCAGGCTGGGAGGTCGGATCCGGATAGGGCCTCTAAGAGCTTGCGACTTGTCGCAGTCTGACACATGATCCCAAAACGCGACGCATTTGTTCACTGTCCAAGTGGCGGGTCGGTGTTTGGGATGTAGCAGGAGGAGCAAACGCCACCTTGGTGTGAGAGCTCCAGCACAACGCCCCAAGTTTCTCGGTTGCTGCCAAGAAGCCGAACAGACGGGTGCAGTATGGACCGCCATCGGGATTCGGAGTGCACTGGTTGGGCCTCCCGTTGTGGCATCGCGAAATCAACTGGCACGCGGTAGCACAGGATTCACGACTCATTAGCGTCATTAGCACCCGAAGAAGGCCGAGCACTGCACACGGAACTGTCTTTGGATGCACAGGCCGGACTCGCATCCATGGCAGCCTCATGCAGTGGCTGAATCGCCATGGTCCGGCCCGGACACTTCTTGAAAAGCAGCCTTGTCAACCAGCCAGTGGGAATCCTTCACGGAGTCCCCCAGAAAATATTCCCTGGCTTTAAGCTTGGTCGGCAATCTTCCTACTCCAACACAGAGTCGGCCAAGAGGCGCTACTGCTTCAGCACGACGCTGGTTGTCCCGCACCTGGGCCCAATGCTTGTTTTCCAAAGATCTCTGAAAACTACTGCGGTCCGACAGCCGCATGAGCGTCTGACTTCACACTTGCCCTTCCAGAAGGGAAGGCCCGTCTCCTTCTCCTGGAAGCCATTCGCACTCAAAGCACTTTTGCATGCTTCGCCTTGCTCCAGGCACAGGCACGGGCGCCAGCACCGGCCTCCTTCTTCAACTGCATGCATCTTGGATCCTGTCTCCACATGAAATCGACCCGACCTGTCCGACCGCTGGAGCTTCCTTCACGGGTCCCGTCCCGTCCTTGCAGAGATCCTGCGTTTGCTGGCAGTAGGGATGCAGGTCGTACTCGACGCAGTAGCTGGTTTTCTGCCAGGGAGTCTGTTGCAGAATCATGTCTGCCGACTGCTTCTGTTTTTGACGCTCTGACACTGTAAAACTGTAAGGCTGCGTTCGGTCGGCTCCGCCTGGATAACCACGTCCCATTTGGGGCTCGTGGAGCTGCAGTCATTGCATTGGAACTTCTGCTTGTAGGTCCTGGGACGTCTCTTAGAGCCACTCAAGACAGCACTTAAGGGCGCTGGGTCTGTCTCAACGTGGCGCCAAAGCGGCCCCTTCGGGTCGTAGCAGTTTTGTCGCCAATCCTTCCAGCCGGTGCACTTCCTGCCGGCGGATTATCTTCGGCTGTTCTGCCGGGAAGACTGGCTCAGGGTGAGCGGGGAGAAAAGAGAGAGACAGAGAGAGAGAGAGAGAGAGAGAGAGAGAGAGAGAGAGAGCGCGAGGGAGGGATGGAGGGATGGAGGGATAGAGGGAGAATGGGCCTCTTGCCATCGGACCCGCACGGCATGCTGGTGATTCCTCCATAGGACGATTGTATGGCTGCGTATCTCACTGCGTACTGAGACCGGACCATTCAGGTCGTCAATGTTCACGAAGTCCTTGTCTCCCATGGCCTGACCCACGCGGGGACCCCTTTTGATCCCAGATACCCCCAGCTCCCCAGCTCGAGTGAAAGCCTGGTACGTATAGACGCAGCCGATCTCTCCCGTTGGCTCCTTGACGGAGGAGTTGCACAAGCCCCCCATGATGACCTCGAGAAAAGGGCGGAAAGGAAGACAAGCAGCTGAGGCCATGCGAATCCAACCTTGTCAGGAAACTGACTGTAGTGCAGGCAGCACTTCCTTGCCCTCGGAGCCATTGCGATCTCCATGGCAGGGCATGTCTCCATACACTGTCTTACATATGTGCCACCAAGCGTCGTGTCGGTGTCCGAAGGATCCGTGAAGTGTGGATTCGAGCTGCAGTTGCGCGCATCCTTTCAGGCGCTTGTTGACGCCAAGGGCTTCTAGCCGGAGTACACGGTGGACATATGCTGCGTCGCCTCACCTCGAAAGATTTCTGGGGCACTGGCTTTGTCCTGTTTGCCAGCACAGCCCTCCGGATCGCAAGGCTGAGGCTTCGTCGGGGGCGCCTGGAAGCCCCAGAAACAAAACGAGCGAGCAAGCATCGCAAGCATCTCTCCTTGCCTCGGCCGTACATCCATCGAAAGGCTTCACGCACTGCCAAGGCCTTCAGAAACGGGACTAACCAAGGGAAAGGTAACAGGCAAACATCAGTGGGTCTGGAGGAAAACCCCTCTTCTACTCTCAGAAACTCGATCGCATCACTACGGGGCAGAAGCCCATCTTCCCTGCATAGGGCCTGGCTAGCTACCCTGGACTAACTGAGAGATGCCACAGAAAATCTTGGCAACACCGCACCCTCTAGCTTCACACTTCGGGCTTGGACTTTCCTCTCGTTAGTTTGCTTGTCACAGGCCAACACCTTCCTGTTGATTCCAACATCTGGCAACCACTACTGTAGTACACCATGTGACAGGGCCCCTTCTGTGTGTTGCGAAACGGTGGATAAACCTCCAGGCATGCTCGGGTACACAGGCCAAAGGACATGACTCCCTGCACACACCTGGTAGCAATGGGCACCGGGCAGATTTGGGCAATCTCCATCCACGGAGAACCAATACCACGGATGGGTAAAGTTGATCTGCGGTGAATCCTGCAGGGGCTGTTCCGGCTGGGCCCCGATGCGAGTCCGAGACAGCAGCTCACTCCTCCTTTGAGATTCCGACATAGTCACCATTGGCCACGACCCCCTCCAGCAGGTCCTGCAACAGACACACTCCACGTCCTGCAGTGGTTCTTTCGAGCCTGTCCAGAGATGTGGCAACACCGTAGTCGAAGGCTCCGTAGCCTCAAAAAGTGGGCAGCGGCACGGCACGGCGAGCGGGCGGTGCTTCCGTCTGCGGGCTCCGAAGGCCACAAGGGCATGCTCAAGGAAGTGAGGCGGCTGAGGCCGCTGCGCCCGAAGCCAGGCATTGCCAACTTGCTCGGGTCCTCAATGCAGGTGCCGTGGGTGGCGGCAGGCGCATTCCATCGCCGCCCCGGGCCACCGCATCCGGCAAAGGCAGCGGCGCGCCTTGAGGATGGAATCCGGATTTCGGATTTTCATCCGGTAGTGGCCGAAGGAATCAATGCCGTACTTCCTGACGCCATCTCCGGCCAAGTCTGCTTTGGCTCGGGAGCACACGAGACCTAGAAGTTCGCTCTGGATCACCAGCAACGTGCTCCACAATAACCTCTTGATGAACATAGCCTCGAAAGCAACAACTCTTGCTGGTCTCCGAAACGTGCTGAGAATCGTTGCTGCTGGGGTTCGGACGCAACACACCCATGACGTCTGCCAAATTGTTGTTGGACACTGGGTTCGTTTCCTGGTGAAGATGGAGGATGCTACTCGAAGAGATATGTATCTTGGTCCTTGCCGTCCGGAGGCTTCGCCATGGCACGGTACAGGTCCACCGTTTGCACCAAGTCATCTGCTGACGCAATGCCTGCGACCGAGTTCGGAGCTACGAGAATCATGATGCGAATCTTCAACAGACCAACAGATCTGCCTATGGAGGCAGTCAGCAGAATTGCGGCCCATCGCCCTTCAGGCCAGGCCAAACGAGACAGGATGTGCTGCGGCAGGCCGCCTTGCTCACTCTGAGATCTCAGCGGGCTGGAAGTGCTGCACTGCCAGACTCCATTCTGCCTTCCTAAGGGCTGTTCACAGTGCTCTGAGCCGAAACGAACATTGCAGTCCTGACACTTGCATGCCTCATCTTCGACTCGAAACTCACTGGCCAACATCGCACACTTGCCGCGCCTGGGGACGAACGCTGCAATCTTCTTGCCGTTCTTGATCAACTGCACTCGGCAGCACCTCAACAATGCAACAAAGCGATAGCTGAAGGCGAAGTGGGCAGGTTGAGGCACGTGCTTTCGGATGGCTGAGTTCGGCTGCTTCGCCTGGCATGGCCACTACGACAGCTGCTGATGGCGTTCGGACAGGTTGTCAGTACTTCGCCTCAATGCCGATCTTCTCCACCACGATGCCCTTGGCGTGAGACCTGACGACAACACGGCGCACAAATTTCACCGATACCAGTCATTAGCTCCACAAGTTGAGTGTGCCGACGTTCCTCCGAAGGGGTTGCACTTGTACTTGGTTCCCAGGTTGGCCTTCTTGTAATCCTGCAATGCCAGCCACAGTGTTAGTTTACGTTTCTGTCGCTTCACGGCAGTGCATGTGCTGGCCTTGTCTGCCCACAGTGCCTCCCTTCGGTGCACCCGCAGCTTACGAGCACAGCGAATGCCACGGGGCTTGCCTTCAAAGCACGGCAAACAAGCAGAGGTTGTTCCGTAAGAAATCAGTTCAGATGTTGCCACTATTGAGGTGCACCTTTGAGAGCAGACGATGTAAAGGTACGTTTGGCATTTGTGTCACTGCTGTCCGGGCTCTGGGCCCATAGTGCAACGCTTCCAATCAGCCGACGCCTTCAGGTAAACATGTCGGACTCCCGCGGAGATTCTGTTGATCCTTCAACAACTTTAAGTAGGCTGCGCACGGTCTTCTGAGGCACTAAGCCGTGGTGGTTGTCTCCGCTGCAGCCAAAATTGCGTTGCCAGATATCGGTTGCGAGCGGAAGTTGCAACCGCCTGTACACAACAATAAGCACAAGTCATGAAGCAAAATCTTCCTGTGTTTGCCCTCCGACTAACGCCGATGCGAAACGTCCCTGCAAAACGCTGCTTCACACGTGCTGGCTAGCACCTCCATCCCACTGTTTCTCGGTGGTCGTACATGCAGGACTGAAAGCTGTGTTACACAAAGCATTGAAAGCGTTGGGTTGGTGAATCAGCGCATAACTGTACGGATCTCCTGTCCAGGAGAACTCCAAGCAAACTCCGCCTTCCACTGGCTGAGTCGAGATGTAGAGACGCAGATTCACAGGCGGTTTTTTAGTCTCCCGTGAGACGTTCAAAACTCCGGAAAGGGCTCCCAGGGACCCCCAGCCTCGCTAATTTCCAGTATTCATCATCAGGCAAATGTTATCTCCCTTCAGCAAGATACGACCTCAAGGACTCAAGGGGCCGTTGGTTGAGAAAAGCAGGATAAGAGACCCGCCATGCTTCTCAGGGCGGGGCCGATCGCACGGCGGGTCTTCTTCTTGACCATGATCTCCTACAACTGTCCGCGACAGACCGAGGCTCACAGCGCCGGCACTTTCATGCCACCGCCGCAATCAGAATTGCAAAAAATTGCAGGTCTTTCTTCCTCCCCAACCCACCTCAGGCCTGCCGCTAGCTATAAGACTTAGCTGATTGTATATGGCATGCGGACAAACACTTTTCAGTCAGCCTCTGACACGGGCACAGCACAATGCTACGGAGACAGGAACATGCGCAGCGAGCAATGGGACTTGCGCATGCGAGTCCTCCGCGTCATCGATGACGAGGTTCATGTACCTCAGGTGATCGCAGAGAAGGCACGACCGAAACAGCACCACTTTGCTGTGGAGCTTGGAGCTTGGCTCATCGAAGCCCAGGATGCGGCCCTCGATCCGCAAATCCGACTGCTCATGCAGCCAGACCTGCACCCGACTGCAGATTCTGGTCTCACTCTCTGAAGGCCTTAATCCACCTGTACGCGAGACCGGTTCTGCAGATACCTGAAGATCTGATTGATGGGAAGGGTCCTGCGGCACGTGACCGATCGTTCTCTGCTTTGCATCAGCATGGTTCTTGCAACATGCGGTCATGATCTTCTGGAGCTTCTTGTTGCTGATCGCCATGTCTGCAACCGTTGTCCGTGATCGTCTCGTCAGCGTAACCCGGGCTTCTCTCGTCTTCAGCTTGGGCCGAGCGACGGCAAGAGTCATCTGTGCTGAACAGCTCTACATTTCAATTCATAATGCCGTCCCTTTGACACTCCTGCAGTGTCTCGTGCGGACAATGACAGATCTTTGGTCTGCATTGAGAGCGAGCCGGCTGGTCGTGGTCAGACGTCAGTACCACCTTCCAGCACTCAGCCAGGGTGCTTTGTCCGTGGCACAGAACGGATCTGCTGAGTCAATGCTGAGGCCTACTGACGACTCGGTTTGCCAGGCGACATGTGCTGCTAACAATGTCTTTTCCAAAAATGTCGAGTTTCTTCATGCTGGTGGACGGCTCACTCAACTCAACTGCCACGAGTTCTGCAATCGTCTTCGTGTCGAAGAACTTCACGACATCAACGCACAGTCCTACACAGCAGTCAGTCGCACACCTTTGCTGAGCGGAGGGTAGCACTTACGTGGCCTGGGGTCTTGAAGGTGATGTGGTGGCGGTTTGTTGATGCAGCGCAGTAACCAAATATTCCTGAAGCAGAGGCCGGAGCAAAAAGCACAAACAATGGCACACGATGCTAAGAGCCTAGAATCTGAGAAGTGATACATCTGTCAAGGCTCTCTGGGCAGCCCTGTGGTAGGTATACGCTTCCTGGTACATCCGCTGTACCACTTCCATGCGTTCGGATTGGTTGCATTCCAGTTGATGCCCGTGGAACTCCATACGTCGGGCAGCTTCAGTTGGATCCACCGTGTTTTCTCCATTCAAGTTCAAGGCAATGAAGTCACTGCGGGAAGTCCTTTCAGCATTGAAGTACTTGGGTGCCATCAGGGCTCCAGCGAAGGCCGATGGTTTGCTGAGAAGCGGGAACCATATGCAAACCACTAAGAACTCGAACTCCATAGTGCTCTTAACCTCCAGGTCTCCGCAAGACGCTGGCCTTTCTTTCGAGCGGTGCAGTAAGGGTGTGTTCAAGGCAGCCTTGGTGAGCGCGTCTGCCCCGCGGTGCGTTGCGCTCAGGAGGATCAGATCTGGCAAGATGCTTCTGGCCGCACGGCGCGCCTTCTTCTTGAGAGTGTCCCGCAATCGGATCTCATGTTTAGTTCCCCGGATCGCTCGATGCATGTGAGACAGCACCAGCAGATGCATCTCGAGGTGCCTCAGGACTTGGCTCTTGGCTGTTAGGTCAGAACGGCTGAGGCCCGAGGCGGAAGCCGAGGCGCGGCTTGAGGATCCGCGCAAACCTGGCGCGCTCCTCGACGTCCAGCGTGCCGCTGGGCGGCAGCAGCAGCTCTGCACTCGTCGCCAGACCTTGCTCGATCGCCGCCCAGCGGTTGAAGCTGCTGGCCTCTGGAACTCAGAGACGACTAACTCATCCTTGCAGGCGCTGGAAGGCTGGCCCACAACAGCAAGAGTGGACTCGACTTGTTTGCGCCCACTTCATCCGCCGAGGCCACAGGCCGAGGCGTTTTGGTGGTTACCTCAGGTACCCTCCACCTGATCCTCCTCCCTGCAGCCCAAATGTTTGGTGACACCCTGTTTTTGCGCTCGTTTGCCACCCCCTTGCCCGGCCTCCCCTCATTTTCTTTGATTTGCGGGCCTACCCCCCCCCCCCCCCCCCCCCCCCCCCCCCCCCCCCCCCCCCCCCCCCCCCCCCCCCCCCCCCCCCCCCCCCCCCCCCCCCCCCCCCCCCTCTGAGATGTAACCTGGACGTGTATCCCCTCGCTAGGCGTACAGGAACACAGGCACTCAGGTGTCTCTTTTGCTACAGGCGCACAGCTGTAGTCCACTGCACTAGAACCTTGAGCAACAGGCATGGATACATGCAAGTGATACGTGAAACAGACAGGCACCTGGATGTGTAACATTCAGTGTTTCAACCAGGCACAAATTTAAAACACGTAGAGCTGCATGGCCGTGGAGTCGGCAATCTACAAGCCTGTTATTGCTCTTGGTCGAATTAGCGGAGTATTGAGCTACATCTGCGACTTGAAGAGAATCTATACATCTCTAGCCTGAAGACAGCTTCAATGAAAAGAGCAGAACACGCACGAAACGCAAACGGATCTTCAACTGAAAACTTTTGCTTGAAAGTTGCCCACTTGTGTTTCAGTTCCCTCTCCAGGCGGAAAGCATACTGTAACATAAAGGTGTAAAGCTTAGCTTTACTTGATGCCAGCATGACATCTTGCGGCAAGGCAAATATATAAGGGCATTAGAAGTATCTTATCCTGAGATAAGTATCTTCCTTTGAGAAAGAGTTCTTTAGGAAGTAACTTTTCCTGAGAAAAGCATCTCCCTATGAAATGGCGAATGCTCAAAGTGGATACCTTCTTATGAAAGAAGCATTCCGTGAAACACACAGCCAGTTCAGTCGACGAACTCTAGGTCTCGATCCCAGGTTCTATCACGCCAATGATCAGCACCATGCCAACGGTAGATGTCGACAGTGTGAATCGGCATCACCGGCTGATGACGAACAGGGTCGTAACCGCGGGGATCAGCAGGGGATCTAGGTAGCGATATCTGTGGATCTGGAGCAACGTCTTCAACTTGTTCCAAAAGAACTTCTTCAGAATCATTGTCCATATCCACGTCCGAAGAATCGGAACCTAGTCAGTTTTTCCCCTTGTTCTTGCCCTTGGACTTGTCCTTGGATTTGCCTTTGGACTTGCCCTTGTCGGCGTCCTTGCCTTTTCCTTTGGAGGACTTGCCTCCTTTGCCGCCCTCTTTGCCACCAGGAGGTTGTGCGGGTTCTGGAGGACGTTGAGAACCAGAAGCTTTAGCACCAGAAGCTGCCTCTTCCTGAGAAGAGCTTGCTCCCTGTGGTGCGGCTGCAGGACCAGTAGAACCAGAACCACGCGCCTTGTTCAGCTTCTGTCTCTCTGTTCTTCTGTCCGCGGCTTCCTTCATGGTGTCGGGATTGCGGTTGAGCGCTCTCATCCTGCCTCCAGAGTACTGGTTCGCGTGAACCTCGATGAGGAGCGGAGTGTGAGCGTCATAGTCCCGATCGTTGAGAAGGTACGCGGCGCTGGTCGAGTTTAACAGCCACTCAGAGACATGGATGTCGAACTCATTCTTTGAAGACGGAAACTCCGCCCATTGATCGTCCGACATGCTGTGTCCCCATTCCATGACTGTAGCCATAACAGGATCCAAACCAGGAAAAGTATTCCAGTCTGGTTGCTTAGCTTCCTTGTATGGCATTCCCAGCGTGTCCTCATACTGTTTCAGAAGCCACATGTCGTTTGCTGACACATGTCTCGCACGAGGCGAACAGAAGTGTGGGCACTTTGGGCTTTCTGACCATGCCTCCAAGAAGTAGTCGAGAAGGCTTTGGTACATCCCGCCACGAATATCCATCGACTCCTGCTTTCTGCCGGTGGCCCGGTAGAGGGCCATGTTGGCGTCGCCACCGATGAGGTCGAGTTGGTAGTGCAGGCAGTCGATGAACATGTTGCCCAACACTTCATGAGCCAACGCCACCTTGTCTGCCGCCGCGTCGTTGTGGAGGTGGAAGACACAAACTCTCAGCCGGTCGGATCCAGCTCGCTCCAAGACCTTGGTCAGTGACTCATCTGGAACATCACCACGACTGCCCTGGAGATCGGTCGGTAACGTCATGCCATACACGATTTCCGCGACCATATAGGTTATTGGAAGGGACTCGTGGGCATATCCACTGAGAGTGGAGCCGGCAAGACGTGTGATCGAAGATCCGACACCATTTGTACGACTTCCCACCATCAGGTCCTTGGACTCGTTACGAAGGAATTTCCAACCGCGTGACTTGAGGAAGGCCTCTTCGGAGTCATCGATCTGAGCCGCTTCGCAGAGCATGAACAAATGCGTCATCGACTGTGCAATCGATTTTATCAAGGCTCCTTTAGATGGTGTAGCATCGTCCCAGTCAATGTGATCAGCAACGGAGCGAGGAGCGGTACGCTTTCTTCCCCTGCTCATGTTGCCGAGATTGAGGATGAGCGCGGCATACTTGGTCTTGCTGGTGAAGATAGGGACATTGGAGTCCTCTGCCAGACCAAAACGATGAATATACGGATTCGGCGTCTTCTCAAGAGAGAGGTCCCCGATCTCCTCTTCATCGACTCCGGCGCTCAAGAAGTAGTGAATCATAGCATTCAAAAGTTCTTCTCGAGTTGCCGGATTGCCGCTTGCATCCAGGGACTTCAGCTTATCAAGAAGTGCTTCCATGACTTCCAGTGCTGATTCTCGGATGTCAGAGGCCTTGCCCATGAGCTTGTCGTCCAAGGTTCTACGAACGTCCCCAGAACGAAAAGCAACGTTCTTCTTGTCGGGACGACGCTCATAGATGGGATCCATCTTGTTGAGTTGGTCGAATAGATCCACCATAGAGAGAGAGTATTTCTGTCCCTTGTGGTTTGGAACATTTACCCTCCAACTCATACGCTGCACCTTGTAGGCGAGAACGGGCTCGTAATCAGGATCACGAAGTCCTGTATGATACAAGCCTGAATAGCCATATCCATGCAGCTGCTTGCAGAGCATCCGCATAGGGCTTTGTCGTTCGATTTCGGTGAGCTGCGTAAGGAAATGTTTGAACTCTTCGAGATCGACGCGCTCGATCTTTTCCTTTGCTTTGCCCATCTTGTCGAACGCGTTCTCATTCTGGTCCTCTGCATCCTTCGCGGCCTGGTAGTACTCAGGATCCGGAACGGTCTTGCATTTCCCCCAGATGCCTTGATCGTGAAGTTCACTTTCATCATCCTTCTCGGGAGAAATGTCTGGCAGATTCCTCACCCTGTGGTGAGCCTTCCTCAGCCATTTCGACGTTCTCGGACTTACCTCCTTCCTGACCCATGTGCGCATCAGGTTCGACCTTCACCTCGGATGCCTCTCCCTGTGGATAGCTTTCCGTGGCTTCGGTCTTCTGTTGTGGAACATCCACCCCAGATGCCTTCCCATGTGGAGAGCTTTCCGGAGCGTCCGTCTCCATTGGCTCGACAGTAACCCCAGATGCCTCTCCCTGTGGAGAGCTTTCTGGAGCTTCAGTCTCCATTGGCACATCGGTCGGCTCGGTCTTAACCGGATCAACCTTCTTGCCCTGTGGCAAGTCCGTGGATCCAGACGACGGTTCGGAGGTATCCATCTGATTAGCCGCGGGAGGCTCCTCGATCTCCTCGATCTGTGGACATGGGAGTCGCTCGATGAACTCCTCGATCATAATGTCGTCATATGGTCGAGTGAGGAGCTCATTCAGCTCAGACTCCTTCTTCGCCTTCAAGTCTTCGTACGCCACTAAATCAGCTTTTGCCTTGCGGGCGAAAGCCGACTTGAAATCGCGCTGGTCAGACTCCGTGAAGACTTTCTCCAGAACCGCCAGGAGGTAGCTGCCGTTGAACGGCTGCTTCAGGGTACTGTCATAGAGACAGTAGCCCTCAGGGGTTCGCACCGTGTATTTACGGCGAACCTCCAGATCACCGGCGTGGCGCTGGATGTAGGAGAAGAAGTCCACTCCATAAGCCTCATTGATGACGCGGACGAGCATCTGGAACTCCTCTCGCACATAGCCAACCTCTTCATACACATACCTTTCCCTGAGGAAAGCCTTGTGTGCGGCGAGCTTGCGAGAGTAGTCGGGATCCTCTGTCCTTGGCATCCTTGCACGAGAGTCATTGTCCCGAGGGCGATCGAATCCAATGTTACCCAAATTGGGCCTGAATTCGTTCGACGCGGCAACGGAGACATCGTCCAGCATCTGGGCAAGACCGCCAGGATGACGCTTAAAGTTCATCCAAGGTGACGTGTACCCGTTGGAGTAAACCTTCGGTTTCTTGTCCAGCTCCACGAGGTAGTTCCCCTGCAACTTCCCCATCTCGAAGGCCTTGAGGAAGAAGTGCAGGGAGTACCCCGAAAGAGGATGCTGCAACCACGATGCCCAATCGTATTCACAACCCAAAGACTCTCTCATAGAAGTAGTCAAAGTGTGCCAGGGGGTGACCTGAACGAGGGCATCGCCATAGGTGCTAAGCATCGGCTGGCCAGAGGAGTCCACCATGTGCAACTTGCCGTGGGCGAAGAGATGCCATGGATTCGTCCTGGCCTTGCGGAGAACCTCGTTGAGCTCCTCCTGCTGCTGGGACTTATGCGCATCAATTTTGCCGTGGACGGTGTCCCCAGACTGATACGCATACTTGGTGTCTCCTTCGGAGGCTGTGGCTTGCCGCTCCCGCTCTGCCTTAAGCTCATTGTCACGAATAAAGCTTCTGGAGAGCTGCCGCGTCCAATGTGGGTACCTTCTCCTGAGAGAAGCTTCCCGGTGACGCTTGGCCTGCATCCTGAGATGTCTTTGGCCGCTTCTTGGGAGCT